CGCGCGTTCGAACTGCACCGTCATCTTCATCAACCAGATCCGTGAGAAGATCGGTGTGATGTTCGGTTCCCCAGAAACCACCCCCGGCGGTCGCGCACTCAAGTTCTACTCATCCGTGCGTCTGGACATCCGCCGGACCGGAACGATTAAGGTCGGCGACGAAGCGGTCGGGAACCATGTCCGCGTGCGTGTGGTCAAGAACAAGGTCGCTCCGCCGTTCCGTCAGTCTGAGTTCGACATCATGTTCAACGAAGGGATCTCGATTACTGGTGATCTCATCGACATGGCCGTCGAAGACAAGGTTGTGGACAAGTCCGGCGCGTGGTACTCCTACGGCGAGGTTCGGCTCGGACAAGGACGCGAGAACGCGAAAGAGTTCCTGCGTGAGAATCCAGATCTGTTCAACGAGATCCGCGAGGGTGTGCTCGACGCACGGCTCCCTGATCGTCACAAGCCTGAGGCCGCGGAAGAGATTGCTGAGGACGATGACGGCGCGGAAGTGGTCGTCAAGAGCAGCAAGTCCAAGAAGCAGCCTGAGTTCGCGGCTTCGAAGTAACGACTGCATGTCAGGCTTTGCGACTGAATCGGCGTTTGTTCCCTGTTAGTTGATTGCCAAATCGGGGTAGGGAGCCAATGATCTGCGACCAACACATCGCATGCGGATGTGGCGGAATTGGTAGACGCGCTTGGTTCAGGTCCAAGTGGGCGTAAAAGCCCGTGGAGGTTCGAGTCCTCTCATCCGCATTTGAAATGAGCCCCGGAGTATTCGCTCCGGGGCTTTTTGTGTGGTTGGGTCGGGGCAGCGTAGAATCGAGGCATGGGACTGTTATACAGCGGGATCGATGAGGCGGGGTACGGGCCAATGCTTGGGCCGTTGTGTGTGGGGCGTGCCACGCTGCGCGTGCATGACTGGAACGCGATCGATGAAGACGGAAACACGGCTCGCGTTCCTGATGTTTGGGAAGTGCTGTCATCGGTGGTCGCGAAGACACGCAAAGAGGCGAAGGGTCGGATCACGGTCGCGGATTCGAAGAAGCTGAAACTCGCGAGTTCGTCGGTGCGGAATCATCCGCTCGTGCATCTGGAGCGTGGGGTGCTCGCGATGCTGGGGACGATTGGTGATGTACCGCGGACGGATCTGGAGTTGTTTGAGATGCTTGGGGTGCGGATCGAGGATCAGCGTTGGTTCGGTGGTGACCCGATCGAGCTTCCGATCGGGAACGAGATGGATCTACTGAAGATCGATGCGAATCAGCTGCGCACTGAGATGCACAAGCAGGGGGTGACGCTCGAGGAGATCAAGGTCCACGCGATGGGGGTGGGGGACTTTAATGAGGTCGTACGCGCCCACGGCACGAAGGCGGCGACGACGGCGCAGCTGCTGCTGGAGCATCTGCGATCGGTGTCGAAGGTTGACGCGTTGCACACGCGCGTGGTGATCGATCGGCAGAGCGGGCGGACGCATTATCACAAGCTGTTGTCGCGGGTGTGGGACGGGATCGAGACGCTCGAGGAGTCGGCGCGGGCGTCGCGCTACTCATGCGGTGATGAGCTGGGCGTGCTGCTGGTGTCCAAGGCGGACGATGCGTACTTCCCGGTGTCGCTTGCGTCGATGGCGGCGAAGCTGGTCCGCGAGCTGATGATGGCGCGGTTTAATCGGTACTGGTGTGCGCAGGTGTCGGAGCTCAAACCCACGGCGGGGTACGTGCAGGATGCGCGGCGGTGGCTGGTGGATGCTGAGGGGGTGCTGATGGATGGGGATCGGGTGGGGTTGGTGCGGATTGCTTGAGAAGATCACAGTGTTAGGCGAGGCAGTTCCGATTTGAGCCTTCAGGGGCATCCTGCAGAATATGAGTCAAGAAAATAGACAATGTCTGCAAAGTCAATAAATCCATCATTATTAATATCAGCAGTTTGGTCTAGGCTCCGAAACGCGTGTAGCAATGCTGATATGTCCAAGTAGTTCAGGTTGCCATCGTGAGTAATATCGGTAGGGCACATATTGTTCATGGTAAAAAGGTATGCAGCACCTGGATTGTCGCTGGTGGCGGAGTTGGGGCTTGTTCCAACAATTGCGGCATCGTTATGAATTGAAACTGAGTTGCCAAACTCTTGTACTTCTTCTCCATCACTTGGAAGTAGTTTCGCGATTTGCTCACCTGTGTTTAAGTCGAAGAGGTACGATGATCCCGATCTGAATCCGTTGTCGTCATCATTGAATGCTCCAACTATGATCCTGTTTCCGTTGATGGCAACGGAATTCCCGAACTGCGCGTATGCGGTGCCATCCTTGGGGAGTAGGTGTGCAATTTGGTCGCCTGTGATGGTATCGAATAGATAAACAGATCCTGAGTTCCCTCCATTTTCGTTGTCCCATGGGCATCCCACGGCAATTGTGTTGTCGCTGATTGCGACCGAACTTCCAAAGCGGTCACCCGGTTCACCGTCATCGGGAAGGACTTTGTTGATTTGGTGGCCGGTTTTAGAGTCGAAAAGATATGCTGAGCCAGAAAAAGTGCCGTTTTCACTATCTCTATATGCCCCTACAACGATGAAGGAATCGTTCACAGCGACTGATCGGCCGAAGTACTCATCCGAAGAACCATCGTTCGGGACTAGCTTTAAGAACTGACTCTGTGTGGTTGTGTCGAAGACATAGGCGGATCCGGAGAGGAATCCGTTCTCGTCATCACCTTGGGCTCCAATAACTACTGTTGTGCCATGAATTGCTACGGCGTTACCGAAAAAAGATTGCCTCGATCCGTCACTTGGCAAGAGTTTAGCGATTTGATTTCCGGTTGTGATATCAAAGAGGTAGGCAGAGCCGGAAGCGCCCCCGTTATCGTCATCAAAAATTGAACCTATTACTGCTGTGGATCCACTGATTGCAACTGACCTGCCAAACCGATCATTGTCAGCACCGTCGTTTGGCCAGATTTTAAACATCTGTTGTCCAGAATATGTGTCATAGACATATACTGAGCCGGACTCTATGCCATTCGCAATATCTTTAGGGGATCCAACCAAAGCTATTGAGTCATAAGTTGCGACAGCATAGCCATATTCACTGTTTGCTACTCCATCGTTTGGTAAAAGCTTGGCATCCTCAGTGTATGTTTGACCAGTTCCGACCATGGAAAACATTGGCAGCTGGACGATTAGGATTGGTATTATTTGCATTATAAATCCGACTTGTTTGATTTAGGGATTCTGCTTCTCTGTTATCGCCCAACTGGTCATGGGGGCTCAAAAAGTAGGCTGTTGATCATTTGGTAGATTTGAAAAACAATTCCGTCGCTGCGTGGGCACTTTGCCTGTCCTGGCAGTGGGAGTTGCTGGGTTGGGGGTTGAGTGAGGTGCTATTAGCTGGGTTGGCTGTTCTTTGTTACGGGCAGCTACTTCCGAATGCGGCTAGGAATACGGACACATCGAGAAAGTTGAGATTGTTGTCGAGGATGAAATCGGCAATTGGGTCTTGATGTGCATATGAGGAGAGGTATGCGGATACATCGAGGAAGTTGAGGTTGCCGTCTCTGTTGATGTCCGGGAGGCAAGCGTTTGTGAAGAGGTGGGCTGAAGCGGAATCAGCGCTGATGTTAACGGTGTTCGGAGCACCCACGAGGATGGTGTTTCCGTCGATTGCGACTGATTGTCCGAATTGATCGGCTCTTCTGCCAATGATTGGTTGGAGTTTGGAGACTTGATGACCGGTGGTGGTTTCGAAGATGTAAGCTGATCCCGAGTCTTCGCCGTTGTTGTCGTCGCGCGTAGCACCTGCTACGACGGTTGAGTCTTTGATCGCGACGGCGGTCCCGAATAAGTCATCTTGTGCTCCGTCGTTGGGTAGGAGTTTGTTGATCTGGTTCCCATTGGTATCGAAGAGGTATGCTGATCCAGAGTTTGAGCCGTTGTCGTCGTCGCCTGGGGAGGTGATAACGATGGTATTGGTGCTTGCGGCGATTGCTGATCCAAAGAAGTCCGCTAGGGCACCATCGCTAGGTGTCAGCTTGGCGGTTTGTAATCCGGTAAGAGGGTCGAACAGGTAAACTGATCCTGAAAAGCTGCCGTTGTCGTCGTCTCCGGTTGCTCCAATGATGGCGGTAGACTCGTTCATTGCTACGGTAACTCCGAAGACATCGTCTTCAGCGCCATCGTTGGGGAGGAGTTTGAAGAGTTGTGTTGCGGTTGTTCGATCGAACAGGTATGCGCACCCCGAGGCGTTGCCATTGTCGTTGTCTCCGGTGGCGCCGATGAGCACGGAGTTGTTATAGATTGCAACGGATCGACCGAAGTGCTTTTCTGCTTCGTTGTCGTTGGGCTGGAGCTTTGCGATTTGTTGACCAGTAGAGGCGTCGAAAAGGTACACCGCGCCTGAGTTGGCGAACGCTGTGTCCGCGAACGGGGCACCGACGGCTATGGTGTGGTTATGAACAGCGACGGTGATACCAAAGAGATCGAATGGGGCTCCGTCGTCGGGGAGGAGTTTGGCGATGAGTCGGCCTGTGGTGGTGTCGAATACATAGGCGGCTCCGGCGCGGGTGCCGTTGTCTTCGTCCCAGCGTGCTCCGATGACAGCGATGTTGTTGCTGATGGCGACGGATTCACCGAAGTAATCGTGGACAACTGATTGATCGCTCAGTAGTCTGGCGTACTGCTCGTCGATGGTGGATTGGGCAGTTGCGGGACATGAGAATAGGATGATGGTACTAAGTGCTATTTGTGCAAGGTATGCTCGGCAATGTATCACGATAATGATCCTCGAATGATCTGAAACCTTGAGATGGTTCTGTAAATGAAGTGCAGGATACAGGATGTTGAGCTATTCGTGAAGTCCAAAGTTGCTGATTGGCTTCTTGTGGGATGTAGACATGGTCTTTTTCGATCATCTCTTGATTGAATCGATGGTGCACTCCATGCTTGACGGATCTTTCGGATGAGCGTGCGAGGGGAGAATACGATTGGGTATGCAGGATCGTAGATCATCGAAGTTATATTTGGATATGGCGGCGCGGGCGGCGGTGCGGGCGTTTGGGAATGTGGCGCCCAATCCGATGGTGGGCGCGGTCATTGTCAAAGATGGTCGAGTGATTGGGATTGGGCATCATCGTCGGTTTGGTGGATTGCATGCGGAGCGCGAGGCGATCAAGAACGCACGGGAGAATGGGCATGATGTTTCGGGGTCGGTGGTGTATTGCACGCTGGAGCCTTGTTGTCATCATGGGAAGCAGCCGCCTTGTTGTGAGGCGCTGATTGAGGCGGGGGTGGCGGAGGTGGTCTATGCGCGTCCTGATCCCGCGGAAGTCAGCGGCGGGGGGCACGCGATTCTGGAGGCGGCGGGGATCCGGTGTTCGTGTGATTCGAGTTCGAGCAATGCGGTGGCGATGGGGGAGGCGTTTGTGAAGCGCGTGCGGACGGGGCTGCCTTGGGTGGTGGTGAAGTGGGCGCAGACGCTTGATGGGAAGATCGCGACGGGGAGCGGGGAGAGTCAGTGGATCTCGAATGAGCGGTCGAGAAGATGGGTGCACTGGCTGCGCGCCAAGATCGATGCGATCGGGGTTGGGATGGGGACGGTTGTTGCGGATGATCCGATGCTGATAGCACGCGGCGTGCGGAAGGTGCGGAGATCAGCTGTGCGGGTGGTGTTTGATACGCATGGACGGTTTCCGGAGGATTGCAAGCTCGCGCAGAGTGCGGGGGAGTACACGACGGTGGTGTGCACGGCGGCGGCTGGGACGATCGGTGTCCCTGGCGTGAAGACATTGCACTGCAAGATGAAGGACGGGCGATTGGATCTGGAGTCGGCGCTGCGGGGGTTGTCGTCGGAGCTTGGGGTAAGCTCGATTCTGATTGAAGCGGGTCCGACGCTGTTGGGTGGGCTCCTGGATGCGGATCTGATTGATGAGGCGGTGGTGCATGTCGCGCCGGCGGTCATGGGGGATGATTCGGCGAAGTCCTGCGCGAGCGGGCGCGTGTGCGAACAGTTATCGCAGATGAAGCGGTTTGAGTTGAATCGAACTCGGATGGTGGATGGGGATGTGCATCTGTTTTACCGACGCGGCGAGTAGGTGTTACAAGGATTTGATATGCAGTACATTCCGCGGATCGTCGCAAAGTTCAGCATTGGATTTGTATTTATCTATATCTGTGCGGAGGGTATTGAAAACACTCTCGGGAGGGTGGTCACTGGCTGTGCAGGAGTTTGGTTTATTGTTGCTGGCATCATCGATTGCTGGAACGCGTTCAAAGGTGTGCCATACGACCGTTCAGAGGACGATGGCTTTGTGCCTTGACAAGTTCTTGCGGTCTCAGCGTTGATCAAACTTTAAGGCTTGGTCCAGAAGACGTAGGTGTCGTTGACGGTGCAGCTTGCGTAGGTGCCTTCGGCGGTGACGGCGAGTTCGGTGCCTGGGGCGGTGTGTGAGTCTTTGATCATCGCGAAGGCGATGGGGATCGCGCCGAGCATGGGGGAGATGGTTGAACTGGTGACGGCGCCGATGGGGGTTTGTCCGGCTTGGTCTTTGGCGTAGATGTACGCGCCGGTCATTGGTTGGAGGATTTCTTGGTGCTCGACGGTGATGCGCTGGTCGTTGATTCGGATCGGGACGATGGCTTGTTTGCGGATGTTGCGTGCGTGCATGCGCGCGACGACTTCTTGTCCGAGGTAGCAGCCTTTGGCGAGGTGGACTCGGGAGTCCATGATCCCTGATTCGGCGGGGAGGGTGTCGGGTCCGAAGTCGATGTTGTAGAGCGGGTGTCCGGCTTCGATGCGGGCGGTGTTGATGGCGAGCCAGCCGGTGGGTTTGGGGTTGGATTTGCTTTCGTTATTGCTTTCGTCTTGCGCGGTAAGTGCTTTGTAGATGGTGTCGAGTTGGTCGGTTGGGATCGCGAGGGAGAGTCCGATCTCGCCGGTGAGGTCGAAGCGGTCGGCGACGACTTGGGTGTTGTTGAGTGTGACGCTGGTGTTGTGGTGTTCTTCGACTGGTTCTGTTTGGAGGTGCGTGAAGGAGGTTGGGCCGTGGATGGAGATCCAGTGGAGGGAGTCGTCGATGGTGATCTCGATGTCCTCGGCGAAGATGAAGGTGCTGAGGGATTCGGCGGTTTGCTGCGCGAGGTGTCGATCGAGTTTGACGAGGGTGTGGTCTTCGCGCTCGATGAGTCGGAGGTCGGCATCGATGCGGCCTTGGCGGTTGAGCCAGAAGCTGAAGATGGATTGTCCGGGTTTGAGGTCGTCCACCTTTGCGGTGAGCATGTTGTTGAGGAAGGCGTGGCGATCTGATCCGGTGATTTTGAGCGTCGCCATGTGTGGTTCGTCGAATACGACGGCGGCTTTGCGGAGCGCGGCGTATTCCATGTCGAGTTGTCCGAATGTTTCGACGACTTGGGTTTGGGCGTTTTGAGGGCCGTAGGGGATGAAGAAGGCTTCTGAGGACTCGTGAACGGCGTGGAGGGGGTTGGTGGTGGTCATACGATATGATCGTAGCGGTTGTGCGAAGGTGGACTTTGTGCTAGAGTACAACTGTTCTGAAATAAATCAAATATTGAACACATGATTGCTGGGAATGTTGCTGGGTGATGTGTGTTCAATGGAACTCGAAGGAGCGTCCTGTGGCTTTGAATACGAAACTGCTTGCGAACTTGTGTGAGACTCCCGGCGTGCCTGGTCGTGAGGAGCGCGTGCGGGCGCTGATCGAGAAGGAGATCAAGGGGCTGTTTGATTCGGTGGAGACGGACGCGATGGGGTCGCTGATCTGTCGGCGCAAGCCTCGCACGGCTTCGGGTGGGGTGAAGAAGGTCAAGGACGCGAAGGTGCTGATGCTGCTGTGTCACATGGACGAGATCGGGTTCTACATCTCGAGCATTGATGAGCAGGGGTTCTTGTGGTTGTCTCCGGCGGGTGGGTTTGATACGCGGAACTTGTTCTCGCGTCGCGTGCTGGTGTGCGCGGATTCGGGGGATTACAAGGCGGTGATGAATCCGGGTGGTCGTCCGGTGCACATCGCGAGTCCGGAGGATCGCAAGAAGGTCCCTGAGGTGAAGGAGTTCTTTGTTGATACGGGGATGACGGCGGCTCAGGTGAAGAAGACCTTCAAGATTGGTGATTATGTGGTGATGGATGAGCCGTTCATTGAGATTGGCGGCAAGTGTGTTTCTAAGGCGCTGGATAATCGCGTCGCGTGCTGGCTCGGGATCGAGTCGGTGAAGAAACTGGTGAGCTCGAAGTCTGGGAACAACTGCGAGATCGTGGTCGCGTTTACGACGCAGGAAGAGGTGGGGCTCCGCGGGGCGAAGACGGCTTCGTTTGCTGTGCAGCCTGACATCGGGATCGGGATTGATGTGACGCTTTCGTGCGATACGCCTGGTGTGCCTGCGAATGAAGCGGTGACCACGCAGGGCGAGGGGTTTGCGCTGCATGTCAAGGACAGCAGCTTTATCTCGGATTACGAGCTGACCTCGAAGATCGAATCGATCGCGAAGAAGAAGCGGATCCGCTACCAGCGTTCGATTCTTGCAGCGGGCGGTCAGGACGGCGCGGCGGCGCAGCAGGCGGCAGCGGGCGCGAAGGCGGTCGGCGTGACTGTTGGCACTCGGTATATCCACACGGTGACTGAGATGATCGATAAGAAGGATCTGCAGGCGGCGTGTGACGTGCTCGCGGCGGCGATGGGGGAGCTCAAGTAAGCGTTCCTGAGCATTGAAATGAAAAGGGCGGCCCTGATTGGGTCGCCCTTTTTTGTTTTTATATAGAAGATTGATTAGGTGAGGTGGGAGCGGACCATCCAGTGGTCTTTTTCGAGGTTGGCGAGGATGCCGATGATCATGTCTTCGCTGACGGGGTCGATGTCGGCGAGTGCTTTTTGAGCGCTGCGGAGGTGCGCAATGGTGGTTTCGAGCATGTCCTCGGTTTGCTTGAGGGTGCTGTGGTCACTCACGAGTTGATCTTGAGCCGTTGGGATGGATGGATCATCCAGTGAGGCACGCTGACCGATCGCGGGTTTGCCGAGCGTGACGATGCGTTCGGCGATCTCGTCGGAGGCGGCGCGGGCGTGGTCGATGATCTCATCAAGGAACTCGTGGACGGGCTTGAAGTTTGGGCCTTGGACATTCCAATGGAGTTGTTTGAGGTTGAGCGCGAGGTCGATGCATGCTTGGACACATGGCTGGAGGATCTCGGCTTGCTTGGCTGGGTTGTATGAAGTTGGGAAGGTCACGAGGTCATCCTTTCTGCTGAATGTGTTGAGATTGGACAGGGTATTCTAGGCATTAAATAAGAATGATTCTAATAAAGAATGCTGTTCAATAAACAACGCCGGGAACTGCGTCCTTGCGGTTCACGGCGTTGGCGTTGGTGTGTTTTGTTGTTGGCTTATGCTGCGATGTTGGTCGCTTGCTCGATGGCTTCGATCATTGCTCGGACCTGGAATGGTTTTTTGAGGAATGAGTCGAATCCGGCGGCGCGGAGTCCTTGGGCTTGGCCGTCGGTGAGCTTTCCTGACATGGCGATGAGTTTGGTCATCTGCATGGATTCGCTTGAGCGGATCATGGAGGCGAGTTCGCGTGGTTCGCCGTCGGAGACATGCACATCGATGAGGACAACATGCGGGCGGAAGCGTTCACAGGCGAGTCCTGCGGAGAAGGCGCTGTTGGCGACCTGGGTGTCGTAGTTGGTTTGTTCAGCGAGGACGGTGTTGAGGACGTCGGAGACTTCTTGGTCGGTGTCGACGATGAGTACGCGGGTGGTCCCTGTGGAGATGCCGTCCATAGGGATATGGTGGGCTTTCATGAAGCGGTAGAGCTCTGGGACGGGGATGCGTCGGTCCTTGGAGCCGGGGATTCGGTAGCCTTTGAGTTGTCCCGAATCGAACCATTTCGAGACTGTTCGGGGGGCAACATTACAGATTTTGGCAACCTCACCGGTCGTGAGGACATCTTTTTCGATTGGCATCTTCTCACCTCGTGGTACGCAGAAGTGGAGCGGCACAATCCATTCATGCCGCTTCTTGGGCAGCATCGGCGTAAATGACTGGCTGCTTGACGCTTGTATGGGTCATTTGGAGTAGATCGTCTTATCCAGACGCTTTGCGGACCCTTGGGTGGTTGGATCTGTGGCGATTCTGGATGATGGGGCGGGTTATTGAACTTCTGTGTCGAGTCCGATACAGTTGCGATCGCCGGAGCGGGTCTTTCTGTGAGAGGGGCAACATCCGGAGTTGGGCTCGCGTATACGATGCCCTGAGGCGATTTTTTTCGTCTTCATAGATAGTCTGTCCGTCCAGCCCACTTGAGCAGCGTCTCGATCCTATGAGGAGCCCGTCGTGCGTCAAACGACTCGGAACATTACCCGTCTTTCCAGTGCTTTCCTTCTGATGGCGTGCGGGGGGGCGTTCGTTGGAGCAACTTCAGTTGCGGCGGCTACGACTTCGATCGTGCAGCCTGCTAATGGTGATTACGAAGAAGAGATGGTCATACTGCGTGACTTCATCCACTTTGTGAAGATCGCTCGCTTTGATGTCGCAGCGGATCTCGGTCAGCAGTTGATTGATGCTGGTCTGACCCCAGAACAGTTTGTTGATCTTGTGGATACCTCACGCGAGCTTGATCGTTTCGAGGAAGCGATCGCGGCGGCAATGCGGGTTCCTGTGCTTGAACCAATCGCGGCGGAGCTGGACAGCGCGTACCGAAACGGGAAGCTGGATCGCGCTCGCAATCCTGATGAGATCGCTCGCAATATCGATCTGCTGACTGGTGGGCTTCGTGCTCGTCAGCTCGGCCGTCAGCGTTTGATCGCGGCGGGTGAATACGCGATGCCTCAGCTGCTGGATGCGTACTTGCAGAAGGACAACCTCGCGCTGCGTGCTCAGGTTCAGCGGCTGTTTGTTGATATGGGTCGTCAAACGATTGCACCGCTCATGACCGCGTTGCCTCACTTTGATGCGACGCGTCAGGAAGCGGTTGCTGAGGTCTTGGGATTGATTCCGTATCGCACGAGTCTTCCGGTCTTGATCGATCTGTACCAGAACACTGATAACGACGGCGTGCGTAAAGCGTGTGGCCGTTCGATCTCGCGTTTGGGTGGCAATCCGAGTTCGGATGTCGCGGATATGTACTCGTTGCTCGCGGATTCGTACTACAACGAGCCTTCGGAGCTGACGAGTTTCCCAGGTGAAGATCACCAGTTGGTGTGGGATTTCAATCCCGGGCTCGGCTTGGTCATGACCCCGATCCGTTCGGAGGTCTTCCACGAGGCGCTGGCGATGCGATTCGCGGAGCGTTCGCTTGGGATCAATGCAGAGTCCGCTGAAACGCTCGCGTTATGGATCTCATCGAACTACTCGCGTGAGTTTGATACTCCTGATGGGTACAGCAATCCGGTCTACTCGGCAGATCGTCGTGATGCGGAGTACTTCGGGATCGCGGCTGGTCCGGACATTACACAACTGGTGCTGCGTCGCGGGATTGATACACGCGATACACCATTGGTTCGCAGTGCGATTGACGCGTTGTCGCAGACTGCTGGTCCTCGCTCGCTTTGGGGTCAACCGATTGATGGTCGTTACCCATTGCTTGAAGGATTGGGATACCAGAATCGTCGTGTGCAGTTTGAAGCGGCGTTGGCTCTGGGGAATGCTCAGCCTCAGGACTCGTTTAACGGTGCTGAGCGTGTGATCCCGCTGCTCGCGAGTGCGGTGCGTGATGCTTCGGCTCGTTACGCGGTTGTATTAACTGGATCCGATCGTGAGTCGTACGACCAGTATCGCAACATACTTGAGGGGCAGGGATTCACTGTGCTTCCTCCGTCGGATGGTGGTCTCGATGGATTGGCGCCTTCGATCGCTCAGACTCCTTCGGTGGATTTGATTGTGACTTCGCTCGGATACGACGACACGCTGCTCACGATCGAGACGGCTCGCACCGATACCAAGATGAATGTTTCGCCGGTCTTGGCGTTGATGCTGACGGATGATGTTGAGCCTCTGCGTCGTCAGTACCTGCGTGATCAGACTGTGGCGGTTCGTCGTGTTGAGATTTCGAACTCAAACATCGAGACCTCGGTTGATCAGTTGCTGATGGCTGCTTCGGGTGGTCCGATCAGCGAGGATGAAGCCGCGGATTATGCGTCACGCTCGATTGAGGTGCTCCGTAACCTTGCGATCTCGAACAATCGCGTGCTCAATGTGCTTGATGCATCGACCATCTTGATCGATGTGCTCGAGGATGTTGGTGGACTCAAGATGCTCGATGTGGCTGAGATCCTGTCATATGTGGATCGTCCTGCGGCTCAATCGGCGATCATGGATCGTGCGATGGATACCACTGGGATTGAGCAGCTCGAGTTGCTGACCATGGTGGGGGATTCGGGCAAGCGGTTCGGCAACAACCTGAACGCTCGGCAGGTCCGCGCGTTGCTTGAGTATGCTCGTGATGCGGACAATGATCTCGCAACCACAGCGGTCGCGGCGATGGGAGCGCTTGAGATCCAGAACAGCGATCTGCTGGGTTTGGTGCTTGATCCTCAAGAGTGATCGGCGAATAAATCAGATTGATATTAAGAGCGGACCTTTCGGGGTCCGCTTTTTATTGGTCTGAGTGATTGGATCGGTTGGTCCGAGATTTCATTGCATTTCTTGGGGTTTGCCGTTATGACCGGCACGCGCGGTACAGGTGTGCGGGGGGTGGGGTTACAGATTGAACTTGGTGTCGTGGTTGTGAATGCGTTGGGTTGTTCTTCCGATGTGATGTTTGTGACATTTGAGTCAACCCTTGACGGCGCGTGGCTGTCTGCGGGTGACAGGTATTGCCGCGAATCTGCGGAGGATGGGTTCTCGGCTTACCCGCTGAACCACACGCCGTTGCAACCAACGGTATCGAACAAGGAGTTCACACAATGCAAGCAATGCGCAACACAGTGGCTAAGGGCTTCACCCTGGTCGAAATTCTCATCGTGGTCGTGATTCTCGGTATTCTTGCCGCGATCGTGGTCCCTCAGTTCACCAATGCAGCGAATGACGCTCGTCAAGGTAATGTCGAGACTCAGACTTCGACACTGCAGAATCAGATCGAGCTCTTCGCGGCTCAGAACAGCGGTGCATACCCAACTGTTGCTCAGCTTCAAGCGAACCCAACAGCCGGCGGTACTGATGGCTGGGGTGCTCTTATCGATGGTAACTACATCAAGGAGCCACCTGCGAATCCATTCGCACCTGCGGCGAACCGCTTCACCATTACCGCGAGTACCGCTGCTGATTCCGCTGCTGCGGACACCGAAGCTAACGCTGGTAACGGTTCCCAGGGCTGGTACTACAACCAGACCACTGGCAACATCCGTGCGAGCGGTGGCAGCTACTAATCTGGCCTATGAGCCTTCATGATTTATTTGCGAGGTGGGCTCCGAAAGGGGCTCACCTCGTCTTGCTTGAGGCCGGGAATGTTTATCCGGCGATCTTGAACGGGGAAAGCCATGCACCGGATTTCACATGCCTTTACGCTGATTGAAATACTCATTGTCGTTGTCATTCTCGGGATTCTTGCGGCGATTGTCGTGCCTCTGATGGCAGGAGCGAGCGAGGATGCTTCGGTTGCGACCGCACAGACCGAGCTCAACAAGGTGCGTCGTGCGATCGAGGTTTACCGGGTATCCAATGCCAACACATTGCCTGTCGTGACGGCGGGAGATGGTACTTGGGGACCGATTGTGAGCCGGGAGTATCTGCGAGAGCCGCCGACGAACCAGTATGTGAATGGTGCGAACTCGAGGGTGATCACGATCGGGACAGGTCCTGACAGCGCTTTCCAAACAACGCATGGCTGGATCTATGACAGCGCGACTGGAGAAGTCTGGGCGGGTAATTTTGATGCGGATGATCAGCCGCTCCCTCGACCTTGATTGGGATTTTTGTACTTTGACTAGGGGGAGGATGGTGCTATGACGCGACACATGCGATCGAAATTCAACTCCACCAAACACACTGTTCAGCGTTCTCGCGGGCGTGGGTACACGCTGATCGAAATGCTGATTGTGATTACGATCTTGGGTACTTCCGCGGCGATGGTGATCCCTTCGATGGGATCGGTCGGGGTGCTTCGGATCCAAGCCGCGGTGCGATCGGTGGTTGCGGATGTCACCTTTGCTCAGATGGATGCGCTGGCGTATCAGGAGGAGCGTGCGGTGGTCTTTGATGAGGATGGGAACTTCTATACACTGACGCGCGTTCCTGGAGGGACGATTGATCCGGATGCGGATGCGTTGTTTGATCCGAAGGGGCCTGATCAGCGGTATCGCGTGATGCTCGATGAGGATCGGTTCGGCGGATCATTCTTGCGTGATATCAGTCTGAACGGTGGGACGGCGATCATCTTTGATGAAATGGGGGCGCCGATCGCGTCGCCTTCATCCTCGACACTTTCGGATGGTGGATCGATCCAGATCCAGGGTCCCGACTCACGATTCCGGATCGATATCGCGGCGTTTACCGGTCGTGTATCGGTTGTGCAGCTTGATTGAGTGATCGGGCGAAGAAATCAGTCTTTGTAGCGAACTCGCTTATCAGAACCTCCGATGTCGTCGTCGGAGGTTTGTTCTATGAACACCAAACATGACCAACGGCGATCTCGTGCTCTGACTTTCATGCTCTCGCTGGGCATGCTTGCTGGAGTGCTTATCTGGGCGAAGCTCCGTCTCGTGACGGATCTTCCACGCAGTGCGCTCGCGGTTCCGAAGGAAGTTGAACAGACTGAGCACGATCCGGAGATCGTGGATGATCAGGGCGATTTGGACGAGGAGTCCGAATCGGATGAGCATCGGAAAGTCGAACAGGACGACTGAGTTATGAGACCCACAATGTGAAGATGGTCGGGTGATTCCTCTGCGAAATTGGGGGGATGCGCAAAGTGGGTGACCTATTCGGTCGAATCTTTAGCAGTAAACAGGTCTGGGCCGTGCAGTCATCGGGACAGACGCAAGAGCGAGAAACTCCGCGAGGAAACAGTGATGAACCACATCGTCAACAACACACTCATGACCTTCACGCGTGCGAAACTGAGCACGATCACCCCTGCTTTGATCCTTTCGCTCGGCGCGGGGATGGCGGCTCCAGTCATCGCTCAGGATGCAGGTGAGGATCCGGGTGCGTTCGGATTGCTCGAAGCGTTCGCGCAGCAGAGCACGAGTGAGGTGGTCAGCGAAACAATCGATGACACCATCGGTGGCGAACCTGTCGGTGATGAGCTCGAGGGTGAAGTCGCGGATGACGACATCTCTGAACTCTCTGGTGAAGTCGAAGTCTCGGAGTATGATCTCGTTGATCTTCATGTGAACAACGAGGATCTTGGAAATATTCTTCAGCTCCTCTCGATCCAGTCCCAGCGGAACATCATCAGCTCCAACACTGTCCAAGCGACCGTCACGGCTGACCTCTACGGCGTGACCTTCTACGAAGCACTCGATTCGATTCTCAATGTCAACGGCTTCGGATACATTGAGAAGGGGAACTTCATTTATGTATACACACGCGAAGAGCTCGAAGAGTTCGAGCGTGCTGCTCGTCGTCCTGTGTCGCGGATCCTGCATCTTGATTACCTGAACTCAGCAGATGCTGCGGAGTTTGCAAAGGAGCTGCTTTCGGAGTCCGGTTCGATCTCGACTCACGCGGCAACAGAGGCATTCACGATCAATGATGGCGCGCCTGCTGGTGCAGACACCTACGCAGCTTCGGCTTCGATCGTGATCCATGACTTTGAAGAGAATGTGGAAGAGATCATGGGTCTGCTGCAGGAGCTTGATACCAAGCCTGCTCAGATTCTGGTTGAAGCGACTATTCTTCAGACCTCGCTCAATGAAGCGAACGCGTTCGGTGTGGATTTTGCACTGATCAAGAACCTGGACTTCTCTGACTTCATCGGAACCGGCGGTCCGCTCAGCGTGATCGACGGTCTCATCGGTGGTGCGGGTGAGCTCGTGGACGGGACCGCGGTTCCGGCATATCCGGCAGGGAACACCAGCGATTCTGGTGGTGTCTCGTCGAGCGTAGGTAACACCGCTGGTCCAGCAACGCTCAAGGCGGGGCTTGTGAACGGCGATGTCGCGGTGTTCATGCGTGTGCTTGATGAAGTGACCGATGTGACCATCGTTTCGAATCCGAAAATTCTTACGCTGAACCGTCAGCCTGCTCGCGTGCTTGTGGGTACTCGTGTTGGATACCTCAACACTACTAGTACTGAAACAGCGACTACGCAGACTGTTGAGTTCCTCGAGGTTGGTACTGAACTCGCTGTTCGCCCTTTCGTTTCGAAGAACGGCTTGATCCGTCTTGAGCTGCGTCCACAGGTTTCGAGCTTCAACCTCCGTAGTACAACGGATAGCACAGGTGCGACCGTCACGATTCCGGATGAAGATACCACTGAAATGACCACCAATGTGATGGTGCGGGATGGACAGACTGTTGTCCTTGGTGGTTTGTTTACTGAAACAACTACCGCGGCTCGTCGTCAGGTGCCGATTCTTGGGAACATCCCGATGATCGGTCAGGCGTTCCGTGGAAACGATGATTCGACTCGTCGTGCGGAGATCATCTTTATGATCACGCCTTCGATCGTGAACGACACATTCCTCTCTGAAGCCGGAGAGCGAGGCAACGACTTTGTCGAGCATGCTCGTTACGGTGCTCGCAAGGGGTTGCTCCCATGGTCGCGTGAGCGTCGTGTGGGTCAGATGCTGATCGATGCACGCGAGTACGCGGATGCGGGACAGCGCGAGAAGGCGCTCGCGAAGATCGATCAGGCACTGCGTTTGCAGCCGAACTCGCCTGAGGCGCGTGCGATGCGGACGGAGATCACTGGTGAGATGCGTGTCGCTCCGACGCGTGCGATGATCCAGAGTATTCTCCATGGCGAGCTTCTTGAGGACAGCAACGATCAGGTCCAGAGCGAAATGGACTTCGATCCGGTCGTTGAGATCAATCCGATGGAAGGTGTGCAATGGCCTGATCCGGCGCAGTCTACTGAGCAGATCGATCAGTTCGAAGAAGTCGAGCAGGTCGCTGAAGTCAGCGAGCAACTCTCGGATGCGAGTGAGTCGGTTGAGTCATTCGAAGCTGAGATCGCTGACGAGTTTGTGTCGGAGTCTATCGAGCAAGCACCTGAAGAGTTTGTTGCTTATCGCGAAGTGACCGGTGATGAGTCGGGTGCGACCGAGTTCGCTGAGCCGATTGCTGTTGATACTGAGTTTGCAGAACCAGAATCGTTCGAAGCTGTTGCAGTCGAGGGCGAAGCGTTCGGTGATGAGCAGTTCGCGAATGAAGGTTTCGCTACAGAAGTCGTCGAGGTCGAGTCATTCGATGCGGACTCATTCGATCCAGCGCCGTTTGTTGAAGAAATCGCGAGCAGCGAATCGCAGCTCCCTGAGGATTTCAGCAGCGAGCAGTTCGAGGAGTTCGGATACGAGGAGGTCGCTCCTGGTATCGCGATCGAAGAGGACTTCTTCTCGATCTGTGGTCAGTTGATCATCTCGCTTCCGGGCGGCGGTGCTCTGCAGCTTGATTGGCCTTTGAGTGCTTCGGACTGGACTTCGGCGAGCAGCAAGTCGAGTGAATCCGTCGAGGATAGTGTGGAGATGGATCCGGATGCGACCATCTACACCGAGGTTCCTTCGGACGACTTCGAGTAAGCAGACTGATTGTAAATCACAAACACAACACTTGAACGGGTGCGTTTTCCCCGGGAGTAGGAACATATGAAACGGATCTCTCGAATCGCACTGGCCGCAGGCGTGGCTTGCACACTGACCGGATTGAGCGGATGCATCGGTGGGCACGGCAAGTATACTCAGGAGCACATTTCTCTCGCGAAAGAGAAGATGAGTTTCATGAAAGCGGCGACTGAGTGGGACCTTGCTCGACAAGCATTCCTTGCTGGTGACCTTGAGAAGGCGCTGGACAAGGTGGATGGATCGCTCTCGATCAATGACACCGTAGTCAAGAGCCATGTGCTCAAGGGGCGGATCCTGATCGAGATGGGTGATCTGGGCAACGCGATCAAGAGTCTGCACACAGCGGAGACGCTGAGCGCGGAAGATCCTGATACGCAGTACTACCTTGGTGTGGTCTTTGAGCGTTTGGCGCGTCCGGAAGAGGCGCTCAAGCACTTCGAGAACGCGTGCGAGTTTGATGATTACAACCCTGGCTACGCCGTCGCGGCGGCGGAGATGATGATCGATTTGGATCGCAGCGCTCAGGCGAAGCGGTATCTCGAAACACTCCCGATGTCAGCGAACAACGCGGGTATCCAGCAAACGCTTGGTCATATCGCGCTGATCCAGCACGATCCGAAGCAGGCTGAACTGCATTTCCGCGATGCTCGTTTGCTTGCTCCAGACGATACTGGGATTCTTGAAGAGCTGATCCATACTCAGATGAAGAACGGGCACTACGCGGATGCGGAACGCAACATCGCGGCGCTGCTTGAGAACTTTGAGCATAAGGATCGTCGGGACCTGAAACTTCTGCATGCGAAAGCGTTGATGGGAACCGGGCGTCCGGTCGAAGCGCGTTCGATCTATCAGGAACTGCTTTCAGTCAAGAACGGCAAAAGCGATCTTGATTCCTGGATCGGTTTGGGGAACACCTCATACGCGATCAACGATGATCGGAGTGCTCGACGCGCCGCGGCTCGTATCGTGGCGCTGAGCCCGAACACGCACGATGGCTATGTGCTCTGGGCGATGCTCCACCATCGCACAGGTGAACTGGATAAAGCGTTGAGCTCGATCAATGACGCGATCGATCGGAACAATGAGGATGCGGATCTGTTCGCGTTCCGAGCTGTGGTTCAGCGTGATCTGGGGATGTATAGAAGTGCGCTTTCCAGTGCCGCTCGTGCGAGCTCGCTTGATCCGAGCAACACTGGGTACGGCAAGCTCGTTGGGTCGCTCCAGTCTCGCGTGTATGCGAGTGCTCCGAGCGATTGATTAAAGTTGGCTAAGGCGAAGGTCGCAGAGGATCGGCTCAACACTGACTCGGTCTCTCCAGCGTGATAGCTTTGGTTCGACAACAAGATCGATGATTGAGCCCGGGCTGATGTCCCGGGCTTTTTTCCACCAGTTCCAACCAACGACGCGGATGATGGATTGGTTGTTGTCCGCGTCTCCGATTCTCAGTGAGAGGTGGGCGCCGGTCTTCCCGAAGGGTTCGGGTCTGCCGTTGATTCGGGCGTTGCGGATGAGGACGCGGACGCGGGGGTTCCCGGCTCCGAATGGGGCGAGTTGTTCGAGCGTCGTGATTGCGGATTCGTCGAGTTCATTGACTGATGCAACTGCGTCTACGCGGATTGTTTGGACGAGGTCTTCTGGGTTGAGGATCGAGTTGGTGTGATTGGTGAGTGCTTGGACGAAGGTATCCAAGTTCGCTTCATCGCACGAGAGTCCTGCGGCCATGTCGTGTCCGCCGAAGGAGGTGAGGTGATCGGCGCAGGATTCGAGCGCGGCGTGGATGCTGAATCCGTCGATGCTGCGTGCGGACCCTTTGCAGACGCCGTCCTTGATCTGCATGAGGATGGTGGGGCGTGCGTAACGATCGACGAGCCGGGAGCAGACGATCCCGACGACGCCGGGATGCCAATCCTCATGAGCGAGGACGATGGCGCGTGTGTCGTCGCTGGTCATTCCTGCTTCGATTGCGAGTTGTTCGGCGTGACGGAGAATGCGTTGCTCTGTTGCTCGGCGTTGCTCATTGAGTGAAGAGAGCTGCTGTGCGAGGTCTCTGGCGCGTTGTCCTCGTGCGGAGGTGAGCAGTTCGAGGGCTTCTCCGGCGTGACCTAAGCGTCCGATCGCGTTGAGTCTTGGTGCGAGACGGAACCCAACGGCTTCGGTATCGACTTTCCCTGGACCAAGGTCGGACGCTTCGATGAGTGATCGGAGACCAACAAATGGTGAGGATTGAAGGCGCGACAGTCCGTACTTGGTGATGACTCGGTTCTCGTCGATGAGCGGGACGACATCGGCGATGGATCCGAGTGAAGCGAGCGCGAGCAGATCGACGAGTGTTGTGCGGAGTTTGGTGCTGACCTTGTCGGATTGGCAGTGGAGCGTCGCGAGACGCCACGCGAGTTTGTACGCGACTCCGGCGCCGCAGAGTTCTCCGAAGGGATAGGTGGAATCTGGACGACGCGGATGGACGACGGCGTAGGCGTCTGGCATGTCGTCGAGGGACTCGGGTGGGTTGTGGTGATCGGTGATGATGAGGTCTACGCCGAGTTGATTGGCGGTCTGAGCAGGCTGGATCGCGGTGATTCCGCAATCGACGGTGATGATGACCTTGGCGCCATTGCTTGCGAGCGATTGGATCGCTTCGCAGTTGAGCCCGTAGCCTTCTTCGATGCGGTGGGGGATGTAGGTGGATACTTTGGTTTTTGGAGAGAGAACCTCGATCATGTGAACGAGGATCGCGGATGCGGTGACGCCGTCGACATCGTAATCTCCGAAGATGACGATGGGTTCATCATTCTGGATCGCGTCGAGGATGCGCTGCGCGGCTTTGTCGAGGTCTGGGATGAGTGAGGGGTTGTGGAGTCCGGCGAGTGAGGGGTTGAGGAAGTCTTTGGTGGATTGGTCGTCCGTGAGATCGCGTGCGGCAAGGACTCGGTTGATGAGATGAAGGGATGGATCGTCGAGGATCAGGGATTGATCCCAGACTTTGGTCAGTCCACGCGCTGTCTGGGTTGGTGGGGGTTGGGTCGGCAAGTACGGCTCCGAGGATCAATCGATGGACAGAATCGCTGTCAATCGCGGATAGGTACACTATCCTCCATCATGGTCAAACTTACCAAAATATACACGAGAACTGGGGATTCTGGGACAACCGGGCTAGGGACGGGAGAGCGCGTCCCCAAAGCGGATCTCCGCGTTGCTTCGTATGGCACTGTGGACGAGACCAATGCGGCTGTGGGGGTCGCGGTCACGCACGCTGAGGTCGGTGGAGCGATTTACAAGCGGCTGCGTGCGGTCCAGCACGATCTGTTTGATCTGGGAGCGGATCTCTGCACGCCTTGCAAAGCGGATGAGGATCCGGCGATGGTGCTACGGATCACGCAGGGACAGATTGATGCGCTCGAAGAAGCGATTGATTTCTGGAATAAGGATCTTGAGCCTTTGACGAGCTTTGTGCTCCCAGGGGGGACTGCACTTTCAGCGGCTTTGCATGTGGCACGCACGGTTTGCCGGCGGGCTGAGCGGGAGGTTGCTGAACTGCTTGTGAAGGAATCAGAACGGACATCTGGGTTGACGCTGACCTATCTGAATCGTCTGAGTGATTTGTTGTTTGTGCTCGGAAGAGTTGCGAATCATCCTGAGATGGGTGGTGGGAGCGGGGATGTGCTCTGGGTTCCTGGAAAGAATCGGGAAGATGCTGGGAACGGTTGAGGATTGAATCCGGCGGCACTGTTGTTTGTATACACTATCAACAGTGCGTGCGAAGCTCATCAAATTTTGGAAAGCGGCGATATCGACTCGGACGAGTGATCTGCTCCAAGGGGTTGAGGATTCGGCTGTGCGCCAGAGCGGCGTGCAGTTTATCGCGATGAGTATGCTGCTGGGGGCGGTGCTCATCGTGATGCGGTGGATGCACTTGTCGAGTATGGAACTGATGACTGGATCGACTCGAGCGATTTCATTGAGCGGCGCGATTGGTCTGGAGTTCTGCTGGGCGATGGTGTACCTCGCGGGAGTCGCGGTGCTCGTCGTATGGAAACCCAATGGGATCTGGGCGTCTCGGCTTACGGCGATTGTTGTCGTGCTCGAGGGGGTGGTCGCGTTGGTGCGATGGGGTGTTGGGTTTGATCCAGGACCTGGTGGGAATGCGCTGGCGGCGATCCTGATTGTGCTCACGCTCGGTGCATCGATGATGCCTTGGACTCCGAGGTTGACTTTGTCGTTGTCGGGAGCGTGGATTCTGGTTGCGACTGCGACGCTTGTGCTGGTCGGTCCTGATCAGGGTGTGTCGCTGGCGGCGACGATCTTTGGGTACATCACGGTTGTTGTGCCTGCGAATATGGTTTCGTTCTTTCGGACAACACGCGTGCGGGATCAGTTTGAACTGCGGTTTTTGCAGACGCGGTATGACGGGATTGAGCAAGAACTCCAGGCAGCAAAGAACATCCACGAGCGAGCGTTTCCGCAACCTCGCACGACGGGACAGGTGCGATTCGCGTATTCGTATCGCCCGATGAGTCAGATCGGTGGGGATTATCTGTTTGCTTCAGTGTTTGGTGAGGATGATGATGCGTCTGTGCTCTTGGTGCTGCTCGATGTTTCGGGGCATGGGATCCCGGCGGCGCTGACGGCGAATCGATTGCAAGGTGAACTGATGCAGCTCGCGGGTGAGAATCAGGGGATCGAGCCTGACGAGTTGCTTGCTTCGTTGGATCGGTACATCTGTTTGACAAGTCCCGAGGCGCCTGTGCTGGTGACTGGGATCGCGATGCGTGTAGATCCTGGTTTGAATCAAATCAGGATCGCGAATGCTGGACATCCGAGCGCGATATTGAGGGATTCTCACGGCGGGATTCGGGAGATCGATGCGACTGGTCCCTTGATGGGGATCGATCCGAGTGCTTCTGTGCGATGGGAGCTGGAGACACTGGATTTTGGTCCAGGTGATGCGTTGATCGCGTTTACGGATGGGATCACTGAAGCGATGAATGCGGAACATGAGATGTTCGGAATTGAAGGGGTTCGAGGGACAATTCAGTCCGATTGGCTCGAATCTGGTCTGCGATGGCCTGAGTTGGTTCGGAGAGCGGTGGATCGGTATTGCGAAGGGGCGGTCAATGATGATATGCTGATCGTGGATGTCTACCGTCCGCGGGGCGTGTGATTGTTGATCGTCCTGAGCGTAGTTGAAAGGAAGCCGCGTGGCGAAGTCCGGCAGCATTGAAACAACAGAGTTTCGGAGATCGTTCCATCAGGAGACTCAGCAGATCCTGCGGAAGCGGTTGATCTGGTATGTGTCCATTTGGGGGGGGTTGGGCGCTGCGTCATTTATCTTCGCCGTTGTGATGATGCTCCGGAACTCACAGATTGCGAGTTTATTGAGTTCGGGTCCGACCAAGGCGATGTTCATCCTGACCAATGGTGCGTGGGTTCTTGTGTATGCCGCGGTCCTGGTGATGGTGATCGAGAAGCGTGTGAGTGATACTCGCGTGATCCGGATGTCGATCGGGTTGATTATCCTCGATGGGTTGGTCGCGGTGATCCTTCGTGAGGTGGATCCGTCGCTCAACTACGGTGCGTGGGTCTGGGTGATCTCGCACTTTGTTGCGTGCTGTGTGTTCCCATGGACGGTGAAGCAGGCGTTGTTCCCAATGATCACGCTCGCTGTTGTGAGTTCTGTGGGACACTTGATCGGTGGAATGTCCGCAACAGGGACACTGGCGCTGGCGCTCACGGTGATGGCGTTTATGACACCTGCGGTGTTTATTTCTGGGATTCGTCATAATCAACGGATCCAGAAGTCAACCAATCGTTTCCTCAATCAGCGGTACGGGATGCTGCGTCAAGAGCTCGCATACGCGAGGCAGATCCATGAGGCGTTGTTCCCGCCTCCGGTCACGACTGGTCCGATCCACTTTGTGTATCGGTACGAACCGATGCGTCAGATTGGTGGGGATTACTTGCACGCGAGCAATGCGTATGTGGATGCACATGGGAATGAATCACTCTCGGTCGCTGTCGTCGATGTGACTGGGCACGGCATTCCTGCAGCATTGACTGTGAATCGATTGCATGGGGAGATTGATCTCCGCTTTGCGGAGCAGCCTGACATCTCGCCGGGGGAGCTGTTGAGCCACCTGAATCGGTATATCAACCTGACGCTTTCCAAGCACTCGATCTTCGCGACGGCGGTGTGTTTCCGCGTTGATCTGACTCGGAACAAGCTCGAATATGCGTCGGGAGGTCATCCGCCTTCGTTCCTGCGCGGGGTCGACGGCACGATCCAGGATTTGGAATCAACAACCTTTGTGCTCGGTGCGTGCAAGGACAAGGACTTTGATCCGTGTCAGGCGGAGATCGATTTTGGGCCTGGAGATTCTTTGATTGCGTACACGGATGGGGCGATTGAGGCGCGTTCGAATGAAGGGAACATGTTGCAGATCGAGGGATTGCGACGCATTGTTGCATCGACTCATCCTCTGGGTTCTGAGGAATCGAGCCATAGCGTGCAGGGGCAGTGGTCAGAGCGGATTCTGAAGGAGGTTACCATGCATCGTGATGGGCTCCCTCCGGAGGATGACACGCTCGCGATCGAGATTTATCGTCCGATCCGTCCGAAGACACGGAGCGATTCGGATGAATCCGCAGTGGGTGCTGAGTCCGCGTCTGTTTGATGCGGGGGGACTGTTGGGTCTTATAGAGGTCAATCCTTGACGCCTTGGACTCGATCGGGGTCGGTGTATTTGATGAGTGTCTGTTCAAGGTCCACGCCGTTGATATTGGCGAGGGTCGCGATCCACGCGAGGACATCGGCGAACTCTTCTTCGAGGTTTTCGCGTTCCTCAGGGGTTGGGGGCTTGTTCTTTCGGTTGTTGTTCGCGAGTGCGGTGGCGAGCTCTCCGAACTCCTCGGTGAGGTAGAGGAAGGTCCCGGCGGTGCCTCGGGCGTTGTCAGAGGCGAAATAGCGGTCGTAGATGAGCTTTTGGAACTCTGCGACGGTGATCCCCTCGGGGTCGATATTTGGGGGGGTGGGGGTCGAGTTTTTTGATTCTGGGGTGGTCATGGGGCGATGGTAGGGGCGGGGATCTTGCTTTGGGCGATCTGGTGGCTACACTACAGACCCGACTTTGGGCGCGGGCAGGCGCGGTGTCTGTCCGGCTCGTCGAGATTTGGTCCGATTTACAGGTCAGGATTCAGCTCTATGCCGACCATCAATCAGCTCGTACGCAAACCACGCAAGACTCCGAAGGTGAAGTCGAAGGTCCGTGATCTGGATAACAGCCCACAGCGTCGTGGTGTGTGTTTGACTGTGAAGACAACGACTCCGAAGAAGCCGAACTCCGCGCTGCGGAAGATCGCTCGTGTTCGTTTGTCCAACGGCAAGGAAGTGACCGCGTACATCGGTGGTGAGGGACACAACCTTCAGGAGCACTCGATCGTGCTCGTGCGTGGTGGTCGTGTTCGTGACCTTCCCGGTGTGCGTTACCACATCGTTCGTGGTGCTCTCGATACGCTCGGCGTTGACGACCGCAAGCAGGGTCGCTCGAAGTACGGCGCGAAGAAGGGCAAGTAAGACATACAAGTACGCGACCGCAGTGGTCGTGTTGGCAAGTAATCCCGGGCATTTCTCATCGGCGCCGGGGTGAACAGCGTTTCAGATTGCTGAAACAGATGAGCCTCAAGGAGATGACCCATGGCCGGTCGCATTACCCACTCAGAAGCACAGCTGCGTCCAGATCCGAAGTTCAATGACAAGGTTCTGGCGAAGTTCACCAACTGCATCATGTACGACGGCAAGAAGACTGCCGCACTCCGCATCATGTACGACGCGATCGACGTGATCGACGATCGTCTCAAGAAGCAGCCGGACGCTGTTGAGGGATGCGAGAACGGTCTGCAGGTCTTCCGCAAAGCGGTTGACAATGTGAAGCCTTACGTTGAAGTCCGCTCGAAGCGTATCGGTGGTGCGAACTACCAGGTCCCGATGCAGGTCAAGCCGAATCGTCAGCAGTCGCTGTCGTTCCGCTGGATCATCGCGGCGGCACGCTCTGAGAAGGGGCGTCCGATGCACCAGAAGATCGCGGACGAGCTTTGGGCTGCATCGCGTGGCGAGGGCAAGGCGATGACCACTCGCGACCAGACCCACCGCATGGCGGAAGCGAACAAGGCGTTCGCACACTTCGCTCGATAATCGGGTTCGATCCGATATTCAGACTTTCCGACCCGGCTTATGGCCGGGTTTTTTCTTTGTGCTTCGAACTCTGATTGTGTTGATCCGATATGTGGGATATGCGACTGAGCAGGAAGGCAATCTGTGTTCTGCTGATGGTGTGGGTGATCGGAGCTTCGCTCGGATCATGGTTCACCATCGATGCTTGGGTGCATGGCGGTGGAGGGGCCGTGCGTCCGCTCGCGAACTTTGCGTGGATTGTCTCGCTTCCAGGTTGGGTGACGGCGTACATCGCGCATCTGTTTGGGATCGGTGGTGGTCGCTCTGACGTGTGGTCGATCATCATCGCAAATGTGACAGGGTGGGGATACTTGGTTGTTGGTTGCGGAATGGTTTGGGTGATCCGGAACTGGGTGCATCGTGATGAACAAGAACTGCAAGTGGATCGCTCGCGTCGAGCGTTTCTGACGAACTCGACTGTTGGTGGTGTCGCGATCTGTGCTGCTGGAGCGCCGGGATACGCGACGCTCGTTGAGCCTTGGTCGATCAAGGTTCGGAAGTACTCGGTTGCGATTGATGGGTTACCTGAGTCGCTGCGGGGATTGCGGATTGCTCAGGTTTCGGACACGCATCTTGGGCCGAGGATTCCGGAGTCGTTTGTGGTGCAGGCGTATGCGATGGCGCTGGATTTGAATCCGGACTTGATTGTGCTGACAGGCGATCACGTGCATGATGGGACTCGTGAGTATCAGCGTGCGGCGGAGCTTTGCAAGCCGATGGTTGAGCGGTGTCCGATGGGGGTGATCGGGGTGCTGGGGAATCATGACTGGTGGGGCGATGGTTTTGCGTTGACGCGGATGCTGTCGGATGCTGGGGTGCGGATGATTGATAATGATCGGGTGTGGATCGATGCGGCGACTCGGCGCGTCGTTGATGCAGAACCTGAACAGGGAATCGCGATGGTGGGGCTCGGGGATCTGACGGATTACCGAGTTGATGTTGAGCGGGCGTTCCGGGATGTGGGGGCAGAGATAGCGAGGATCGTGCTGGCGCATAATCCGGATACGGCGGAGATCGAGGTATTCTCGCGCGGCGATGGACATCGCGTGGACCTGATGATCTCAGGACACACGCACGGCGGGCAGGTGAAGATCCCGTTCGTTGGGACTCCGGTTGTGCCGAGCGAGTATGGACAGAAGTATGCGGGGGGGATGGTTGATGGGCCAAGGTTCCGCGTGTGTGTTTCGAGGGGGATCGGGATGTCGATGCTTCCGGTGCGTGTGGGGGTGCCGCCGGAGATCAGTCTGATTGAGCTGGTTTAGGATGGATTGATGGCGCAGTGGTTTTCGCAGTCCCATTCGTCCGCGAGGACACCCCAACCGAGGCGGTCGGTGAGTCCGATGGATTCGATGTAGAAATCGTTGCGTTGATGGACTTCGCTACGCACTCCGAGCTTCTCGATGGTTCTTGCGGAAGCGGGGTTTGCTGAAGAGCAGTAGATGCGGACACGCTGGAGTCCGAGCCCGGCGTTTGCTTGCGAGGCGAGCGCCCATGAGATGGTGCGGGCGCAGGCTTCGGTTGCGTATCCGTTCCCGATCGCGTCTTTGCGGATGTAGTATCCAGTCTCGCAAGAGGCGGTGTCTCTACGAACATCGTGCACTCCTGTGCCACCAAGGAAACGGCCTGTTTGTTTGCAGAATATCCCGGTGCCTACGTTGTTGAAGGTGTCGGGGTTGGCGAGGGACATGATCTGCTCGCATATGTACTTGGTGGTGGATTCGAGGGTGCGGTGGTTTTCCTTGGCCCAGACCATCCAGGGGAGGAGGTGGTCGTCGCGGCATTCATCGATTGCTTGGAAAACCTGCTCGGCGTCCTCGAGGCGGTAGGCGCGGACGATCAGGCGCTCGGATTCGAGCTCGCAAGTCAGCGGCGTGGGCGGGGTCCAATGGAGACCCTCGATGGGATAGTTGTTCTCTGATGAGCAGCGTGTCATGCATCGAGGATAGCAGATGAATACCCTTTGGTGTGGATGCAGATACGACAACAGATCGGTACGCGAGGCAGCGGCGGGTGTCGCACATCGGTGAGGATGGTCAGCGGAAGCTGAGCGAATCGCACGCGATGATTGTTGGGGTGGGGGCGCTGGGGTGTGTGTCGGCGGATCTGCTCGTTCGTGCGGGGGTTGGGACGGTCACGATCGTGGATCGGGATCTGGTGGAGTTGTCCAATCTGCATCGTCAGGGGTTGTACAGCGAAGCGGATGCGGTCGAGAAAAAACCCAAAGCGGTCGCGGCGCGGGATCGGCTGCGAGCGGTGAACTCTGGGGTTGAGGTTCGGGCGCATATCGCGGACTTCACTTCGGAGAACGCGTTGCCGTTGATCGAGGGTGGCGGGGTTCCCGATGTGCTGATTGATGGGACGGATAATTTTGAGACTCGATTTTTGATCAATGACTGCTCGGTGAAGCTGGGTGTGCCTTATGTGTATGGCGGGGCGATTTCGACGCAGGGATCGGCGGCGGTGTTTGTACCAAATAGGGGAGGGCCGTGTCTGCGATGCGTGCAGCCAAGCCCTCCGAAGCCGGGAACGCAGGCGACGTGTGAGTCGGCGGGGGTTGTGGGTGCGGTGTCGTCGATCATCGGGAGCTACCAAGCGGCTGAGGCGATGAAGGTGCTGATGGGGCAGATGGATCGGGTGATGGGGTCGATGCTGAGCTTTGATCTGTGGGAGGGGCAGCGGACGAGGGTGGAACTCGGCGATGCGAAAGATCCGGAGTGTCCGTGTTGTGGGAAGGGGGCGTTCGAGTTTATCGAGGAACGCGGGGCGCCGCCTCAGGCGCTGTGCGGGCAGCTTGCGGTTCAGGTGTCAGGAGGATCGTCGATGATCGATCTGAGGCGTCTGGGGGCGGGTCTGGAAGGGTTTGAGGTCAAGGACTACATGATCCGCGGGATGGTTGAGCACGGCGGAGAGCGGTTTGAGCTGACCTGCTTCGCGGATGGACGCGCGATCATCGATGGGACGGATGATGTTGGACTGGCGCGGGCGATTTACTCGCGCTACATTGGTATTTGACTGATCGGTTAGATATACTGTGTGGTCTAGGAGGGGCCCGCTGATCTATTCGGCGGGAGCATGGAACGAACACCTTTGAACTCAGGAGAAGGACATGACCACGACCGCAACGACGACTGGACAGAACATCACACGCACGCTCGCTCGCACGGCTGAGCTTGCACAGGGGCTGCTGACGGGTGTGACGAAGGAGAACTTCGCGCGGATGCCTCAGGCGGACGGGAAAGCGATCAACACGAATCACCCATGTTTCATCTACGGGCACCTCTCGATTTACCCACGCTTTATCTTCGAGCTGATGGGTAAGGACGGGTCGGCGATTGATGTCCCTGAGGGATGGGAAGATCTGTTCAAGCACGGCGTCGAATGCAAGGACGATGTCAACGGCGATATCTATCCGGCGATGGACGAGGTGCTCGCGTACTTCAAGAAGGCGCACGAGGCGGTCATTGAGATGCTCGGCTCATGCGACGACGAGACGCTCAACAAGGCGTTTGAGGGAGAGGGGTGGCATGTCGATTTTGCGGGCACGCCTGCGGCGCTGTCGATCTTTATGCTTCACTCGCACTACATGTTCCACTTGGGACAGATGAGCGCTTGGCGCCGTTGTGTGGGTCTCGGATCGCTGGAAGTTGCTCCGGATTGATCTCGATTTACATCCGAACAAACGGGTTGGTCACGGCTTCGTGACCAACCGTTGTTTTTGGGCCGTGTCCTGGATAGCAGGTGGTCGCGGGATCGAGTGTGTAGAGGTGTTGTTTGATGGAGTATTCGAGCTGTTCGAAGCTCGATCCCGGGAAGTCGGTGCGACCGATGGATCCATTGAAGAGGGTGTCTCCGACGAGGGCGGTGTTGGAGGGCTCGTGGATGAATGAAATCGAGCCGGGGGAGTGTCCGGGGGTGTGGGCGACTCGGAAGGTGAGGGAATCGAGGGTGACGGTGTCGTCGTGTTCGAGGAATCCGGCGGGATCGGGGGCGGTGACGGCAAGTCCGATCGCGGCGGAGAGGTTGAGCATGGGGTCGTTGAGCCAGGACTCTTCGAGTTTGTGCATGTAGATCGGGGAGTCTGGGAAGTATGAGCGGGCTTCGAGGAGTCCGGCGATGTGGTCGGCGTGCGCGTGGGTGAGGAGGACTTTGTCGACGACGAGTTGTTGCTGGACGATTGCATCGAGGAGGGGGGTTGGCTGGTATCCACAATCGACGATCCAGCAGCGTGAGCCGGGATTTGGGTCGCCGTCGGTGACGATGAAGCAGTTGGTTTGGAAGTCGCCGAGCGGGAATGCTTGGATGTGTGGTGTGCCGGTGGGTGTGGTCATGCGGTATATTATTCAGTGTGGGGCGTTGTGTGTTGATGATGGGGATGATTGGAGAAACTGAGATGGCGCTGATCCGAAATATTCATGAGACACAGATGAACGAGGTGCAGATGGACGGCGTCTCTGGCGCGAGCATGGCGATTATGGTGGGACGTGGTGATGAGGCGCCCAACTTTGCGCTGCGCTCGTTTGAGGTGGTTGCGGGGGGGCACACACCACAGCATCAGCATGATTATGAGCATGAGGTGTATGTGGTTTCGGGGAGTGGTCAGGTGCTACTGGATGGGGAGCGGCATCCGATCAAGGGTGGGGATGTGATTTATGTGCCTGCCAATGAGGAGCATCAGTTCACGGTGGATGCGGATTCGGGGGAATCCTTGCGTTTCCTGTGCGTTGTCCCTGTTGAGCAGAACTGCGGGGGGCCTGTGCCTGGATCTTGAGCTGAGGAGCGGACTCTTATGGACGAGGAATATGGACTCTCGATTGGTTGGGTGATCGCGATCTACGGCATCGCGGCGGCGATCTCAGCATTCGGAGTGCTGCGTGGATTGCAGATTGAGTCGGAGCCTTACATGTTGATGGGGCTTGCGGGATTGGTGATCACGCTTACGACGCTCCCGATTTGTCTTCGTCGGAATGGCGGTGGGGATGGATCAACTGATGCGGCGATCGAGATGGATCGGTTGCGATCACAGATCTCGAAGATGACCAAGTCGATTGAGCATCTTGAAGAGACGATGATCCTCTCAGATGATGCTCGACGTGTGCTGAATCGTCACAAGGAGCGGCAGCTGCTGCGAGGTGCGATCGAGGAGGACATCGAGCGTGGAGAGTTTAACGCGGCGATGGTGCTGGTGAATGAGCTGGCGCAGCGGTTTGGATATCGCGCTGATGCGGAAGAGTTTCGACAAAAAATTGATTTAGTTCGTGCACAGACGGAGCAATCGCATGTGCAGGATGAGATCCGCAAGCTTGATGTATTCATTTCAGAGCATGAGTGGGATCGTGCGCTGGTCGAAGCGGCTCGGATAACGAGGCTGTTTCATGATTCCCCTCTCGCGGAGGGGCTTCGTCATCGTGTTGAATCGGCGCGGCAGCGGTACAAGGTGGAGATCGAGCGACGGTTCCTGATGGCGGCGCAGGATGATCGGATCGATGAGGCGATGGAGATGATTCAGGAGATGGATCATCTGCTGAGCGAAGCGGAGAGCGAGCAGTTTAAAGAGGTCGCTCGAGGTGTCATCGGGAAAGCAAAGGAAAATCTCGGCGCGGCGTTCAAACTCGCGGTGCATGATCGTGCGTGGGATCGTGCGGCGTCGATTGGTCAGCGGATCATCGATGAGTTCCCCAACTCGCGGATGGCGGGTGAGGTTCGTGAGTTGATTGATACGCTCCGCGAGCGTGCGTCAACTGTCGCTCGGGACTGAGTCGTCAGTTGTTGAACTTGATTCTTTGTTCGCGACGGCTTTGGGGTCGGGTTGGGTCCATGTATAGATCAGGAGCAGTCCGATTCCGATGAGCAGGTAGAGGTCGGCGATGTTGGAGACGTAGGGCCAGACCTCGTCGGAGCCCCCTCCCGGCCAGGTGAGTCCGAAGGGGAGTTTCATTCCTGGGAGCGGGTGGATGAAGTCGCGGACGCATCCGAAGACGAGTCGGTCGTAAAGGTTGCCGACGCCTCCGGAGATGATCAGTCCGAATCCTGCGTGTGCTGTCCAGTCCTTGGGTTTGGTCCATTTCGCAAAGAGCAGGAGCGCTACGGCGATTGCGAAGAGCGTGAAGATGATGAAGAACCAGCGTTGTCCGGCACCGATGCCGAAGACCGCGCCGGGATTGAGAACGAGCGTGAACTCGAGCAACTTTGGGATCACAACGACCGGTTCGTGGTGAGGGATCAGGTTTCCGAGGTTGGGTTCGGTAAGCACTTGCGAGCGATCTATGTGTACAGGGAGATCGGTGATGCGTGCGAATGCGAGTGATTTGCTGACGAGATCGGTGATGATGCCGAAGATGGTTGTAATGAGGAGCCAGGACCAGGCGCGGTTGGAGCGGATGGTGGTGGGAAGGTTGTTCTGATCTTGCTCTTGGGGCATTAGTTGCGGTACTTCTGATCCATCATGCGTGCGGCTTCGATGGAGTACTTGGCCCATGGGAGTTCTTCGAGGCGTGCCTTCTTGATCGGTTGGTGTGTCATGAGACAAAGGCCGTAGGTTCGATCTGCGATCCGTCCGAGTGCTTCGTCGATCTCACGAATAAGCTGGCGATCCGCGGCGGCGAGATCGAGATTCAATCCTTGCTCGAAGCTTTCACTCCCAAACTCCGCGGCGTTGCTTGCGGTCTGGGTTTCACCCGAGTTTGAGCGGAGTGCTTCGTCCTCAAGATGCTCGACATCACCAACGAGTTCTGCACGCTTTTTGAGCAGGATGAGTTTGTACTCATCGAGTTGCTTTGGAGTAAATGGGGTCTTTGTACGGCGAGAAACCTTTGTTTCTTTTTTCGTTGTTTTCTTGGTTCGCTTTGTGGATGCGATGAGCGGCCCACCTTTAAGCAACGAGTTTGGTCCAAGGAGGAGAGGGCGCGATGGTGGTGCGTAATCCTCTGGGGACTTTTTCTTGTTACGCGAGCGAGTTGGTTTCTTCGTGGTTTTGGAGTCGCTTGTTTTGGAGTCTGAAGTCGCGGGTGTTTCTTTCTTTTCTTCAGCTTTGGTCGTTGCGGCTTTCTTGCTTGTTTTCTTCGTTGTTTTTTTAGTAGTTTTCTTTGCGGTCTTGGTGGCTGCTTTCTTTACAGTTTTCTTGGCTGTTTTTTTCGTAGTTTTCTTGGCAGCCTTCTTTGTCGTTTTCTTTGCGGCAGCTTTCTTCGTTGATTTTTTCTTGGTGGCTTTAGTCGTGCGTGAGGGAGCTTTCTTCACGGTTTTTTTCTTTGCCGCTTTCTTCGCCGGTTTCTTGGTGACCTTCTTGGAAGTCTTCTTTGCGGTTTTTTTCGCTGACTTCTTGGTGGTCTTCTTTTTGGTAGTTTTCTTTGCCAAAACGCACCGTCCTTTATGGGCTGACTCGGGTAGAGCACGCGGGAAGGTCCAGCCAACTGGGGGCAAGGGTAGGCGCAACGGGATGCGCTGTCAAAGATATCGGTCGTTATATCCGAATAAAAGCAGAACAGGGGTTACTGTGCGGTGGTGAGATCAGGTTCCGCGATTTGGACTTCTCCGAGTTTTCGGAAACGCTCGTAGCGGGCGTTGATGAGGTCTTCAGGGTCCTGCTCGCAGAGTTCATGGAGTTGGGATTCGATCCAGTTCTGGAGGAGTTTGGAGGCTTCCTCGTGGTTCCGGTGAGCGCCTCCGAGTGGTTCATGGATGACATCATCAACAATTCCGTTTTTGAGGTTGTCCTTTGCAGTGAGGTTTAGTGCGACCGCGGCGGCGTTGTTGGTCTGCTCGTTCGCTTGCTTCCAGAGGATCGCGGCACACCCCTCGGGTGAGATGACGGAATACCACGAGTATTCGAGCATCGCGACTCGGTCAGCGACGGCGATTCCGAGCGCACCGCCTGATCCACCCTCTCCGATGACGATCGAGACGATGGGGACTTTGAGTCGGCTCATCTCGCGGAGGTTCATCGCGATCGCTTCGGCTTGTCCGCGCTCCTCTGCTCCGAGACCTGGGTACGCGCCTGGGGTGTCAACGAGGGTGACGATGGGGAGTCCGAACTTCTCGGCTTTGCGCATCTTTGCGAGCGCTTTGCGATAGCCTTCTGGATGAGCACATCCGAAGTGGCACGCGAGTTTTTCTTGTGTGGTCTTCCCTTTTTGGTGTCCTACCACGAGGCACTTGCGGTTCCCGATGCGTCCGAATCCGGTGATGATCGCGGGGTCGTCTGCGAATCCACGGTCGCCGTGGAGTTCGCAGAAGTCGCGGCAGATGTGCTTGATGTAGTCAGAAGTTTTTGGTCGATTGGGATGACGCGCGACGCGGACCGTGTTCCATGGAGAGAGGTCGGTGTAGACATCCTTGAGCATCTGGATGCGTCGCTTCTCGAGCAGTTCCAGATCGGCTGGGTTGGGCTTGATTTCTTCAGCTTGGATCCCGCCGAGGGCTGGCACTTCTGGTCCATCGGATTCGATCGCTCTTCGTGTGAGTTGGATTTCCTCTTCGATCGCGATGACGGGTTTTTCGAACTCAAGCTGGTAGAAGGTAGACATGTGGATTTCCCTTATTTGAACGTGTGTATTGTATCGCAAAGACGGCGGTTGGGGGAGCGTGTACGCTATAGGCATGAATCAGATACAGGTGCCGATGGTGTTTGTGGGTGGTGGGAATATGGCTCACGCAATTATCAGTGGCGCTCAGCGAGCTGGTGTGCTCGATGCAGAGCGTGTTGGGGTGATTGATCCGAGCGAGGATCGGCGCGTGTTGTATACACATGGATTCGCATCGGCTGCGGATGGGATCCGTTGGCTTGGCGAGTGTGGTGGGGATGGTTGCGGGATTGTGCTTGCTGTGAAACCTCAGATGCTTGAGAATGCGGCGGATGGGATGCGAGAATTGATCCAGAGTGCAGGATTGAGTCCGACGGTGATCTCTGTGCTTGCAGGGACGAAATCGGATCGGATTGCTGGGTTGTTGGGAGATCGGTGCCGAGTTATTCGGGTGATGCCCAACACTCCAGCATCGGTGGGACTCGGGATGTCGGCGATCTCGGGGAGTGAGTCATCGAATGACGAGGATCTTGAGCTTGCGACCACGCTGATGTCAGCGGTTGGGGAGGTCGTGCAGATCGATGAGTCGATGATGGACGCGTTTACAGCGGTCGCGGGGAGCGGTCCTGCGTATGTGTTTTATTTGGTTGAAGCGATGACCAACGCGGCGGTTGAGCTTGGGTTTGATCCAGCAGATGCACGAAAGATCGTCGAGCAGACGGTGATCGGGTCGGCGTCCTTGCTTCATGCATCGGATGAAGACGCGGCGACGCTGCGGAGTAAGGTGACCTCGAAGAACGGGACCACTTACGCGGCGACGACCACACTTGATTCGCATCGGGTGATGGATGCGTTTGTGAGCGCGCTCACTGCGGCGAGGGATCGCGGTGTTGAGCTCGGTTGCGAGGGTTAGAAGTCTCGGCGCGCGAACACCACGCAACTGATCGACAGCAAAAAACCTTCGAATGCAAAGGAGGTCCCGAGGATCCATGTGGTGGAGCGTTTACGCATGGCCTCTTCAACACGAGCGGGTGCTCTTGGATCTGCAAACGCGGGCTCGTTCTCGTTACGGTTCATGCGGGCTGCTTGCTCTTCGTTCATTCCCATCAGCACTGCGATTTCTTCTTGTGTGATCAGGTTGCGTTCAAGGAGCGCCACGGTTTCTTGCGTCTTTGGAAGCAAAGTTTTTACAAGGATGACACGGCTGGCCCACTTAGTCCATGTTTCGGCGCCTTCTTCTGCTGTGACAAGACGGGAGCGTGAGAGTTTGAGTGCTGGGTTCACGGCTTCGAGCGAGTCGGTGTAGCCGTTGGTGAGTTCCTCGCCGTCTTCTCCTGGGATGGGTTTGCCTTGCTCGCGGAGTTGTTCGATGCGCTTGTTCGCGAATGTGGTTTGTTTTTCGATGTCTGCATTTGCGTCTTCGACTTGGAGGATCGATCCTTCACGCTGTGCGATCATCATCGCATCTCCGATATTGACGATCCATATCGCGAACCAGAAGAGCATGGTGAGCAGCAGTGCGGCGATGGTTGATCGAGTCATCAGTCCGACAAACGCACAGAACGCGAAGAGGTAGCTGAAGAACGCGAGCACGATGGGGATCGCGAGGAGGAGTTTGGGTTCCCACGCGCCGCCTCGGATTCCCATGACGAGCATGCATCCGATGGAGAAGATGGTGACCTGGAGTCCGACGAAGAGGAGTCCGGTGAGGTATTTCGTGAGGAAGAGGCGCACGCGTCCGATGGGTTTGGAGAGCACGGGTTCGATGGTGCCTCCAGAGACTAGATCGGGGATGATGCTTGCTGTGGAGACGAGCGCGAGGATCGCGGTTGCCCAGCTCAGCCAGATCGGGATGCCCCACGAGGTGAACTGGAGTTTGTAGAAGAGTTCTTTCGAGACGAGATCGGTGGTAAAGAACTCGTTCTGGAACTCCCAGTGGAGGAGAGTGACGCCTCGCTCGTTGATTCCAAGCGCGGCGTAGAGCACGACGACGAGGAGGTTGAGTCCGAGGGTGAGCCAGAACAGTTTTTTGGCGTTGAGCTCGCGGTACGCGTCGAGGAAGATGGCGGCGGTTTGGGTGAGGATCATGAGTTGGCTCCCTTCTTGCTCGAACGGGCGCCAGAGATGGCTCCGGGTTTGTCGCCGTGGTCTGTGCTGACGACTTGCATGAAGAGGTCTTCGAGAGATGGGCGTTTGAATCCGGCGGACTGGATCACGATGTTGTGCTTGCGGAGCGTGTCGATCGCGGGCTGGACCTTCGACGCGTCGTCGGTTTTGAACGCGATGGTGTTGTCGGAGGTTTCTTCTGCTTGCTCTGGGAGCGAGAGGGTGTTGAGTTCCGCGGAGGCGTGCTCAGGGATTGGGTTTGCGGTGGTGATGACGAATCCGGATTGGTCGGCGGTCAGTTCGTCGATGGTGCCTTGGGTGCGGACGAGGCCGTGGACCATGATCGCGACGCGGTCGCAGACCATCTCGAGTTCGGAGAGGAGGTGGGAGTTGAGGAAGATGGTGCGTCCCTCGTCTTTGAGGTGCGAGAGGATGTTGCGGATGTCGCGTCGTCCTGAGGGGTCTACGCCGTCGGTGGGTTCGTCGAGGACGACGAGCTTGGGGTCGTTCATGAGTGCTTGTGCGAGACCGACGCGTTGGCGCATGCCCTTTGAGTAGGAACCGAGTTTGTCTTTGTGCCAGGAGTCCATGCCGACGAGTTCGAGGAGTTCGGATGCTTTGGCTTTGCGTTGTTTGCGTTTGATGCCGGACATGGCGCCGAAGTGTTCGAGAACTTGTCGTCCTGTGAGGTAGGGGGGGAAGCGGTGGTGTTCTGGGAGGTATCCAATTTGTTGGAGTGTTGCTTTGTCACCCACTTTGCTGCCGAGGACGGTGCCTGAGCATTTGGAGGGGGAGATGACGGTCATCATGATTTTGACGAGCGTGGACTTTCCCGCGCCGTTGGGGCCTAGGAGTCCGAAGATCTCTCCTTGTCCGACGGAGAGGTCGACTCCTCGGAGTGCTTTGATGCGTCGTTTGTATGTTTTTTCGACGCCTTGGATGTCGATGACTGCGCTCATGATGCGGGAACTCGCTTTCGGGCAACGATATGGAACATGTGCCAATGCTTGTGCATGGACTCACTCTGTCGGCTTGGTCGGTCCTCCTCGATGAAGGACTCCAGTATGTATTGGTCAAACAGCTTGAGGGTTTCATCGCGCGTGAAGTGGGAGCGGTCTTCGATGATGGCCCAATCGTCGCGGTCTCCGAAGAACTGGCCGCTGAATCGACCGCCGGGGGCGATGGCGGCGTCGATCTGCTCCCAGAGGGCTTGGAAGTGATCTGGTGGGCAGAATGGGAGCGAGAAGCTCGCGTTGACTAGATCCGCTTTGGGGACATGGAGTCCCTCGAAGTTCGCGTGGTTGATCTGGATTCGGTTGTTTGCGAGCGCTGCTTGGATTTCGGGTCGTGCTTTGGTGCGTGCGATGCCGTCTTCGCTGCCGTCTTGTGCCCAGACGGTCCATCCGGCATTGAGGAGGGGGACGGAGTCGCGGCCGTCGCCGCATCCGAGGTCCACGGCGTGGAGGGGTTTGGATGGATCGATTTCTCCGAAGAGCTCGATCGCTTTGAGGACGGTGTCGCGTGGGGGCTTGCCTTGCATGCGATCGAAGTAGCTCGGCCAATCTCGTCGATGGGCGGCTTCATGAACTGGTGGTGGGTTGGTCATCACTTGTTCCCCGATCGGTGATACCCTTTGGTATGTATCGCGATCTGACTTCATTTCTCCGTGCTCTTGACTCTGAAGGTGAGCTCGTTCGGATCACCGAGCCGACGAGCCCTGTGCTTGAGGTCACGGAGCTGGCACAGCGGCAGTCTAGGCGGATGGATGCGGTGTTGGGGTCGGAAGATTCGCAACGAACCGATCCGGAGTTCTCGCGAAATGGGGGCAAGGCGATCCTCATCGAGCGTCCGGAGGGGGCGAACTTTCCGCTGCTGATCAATGCATTCGGATCGTACAAGCGTGTCGAGATGGCGCTGGGGGGGCGGGCGCTGGAAGACACGGCGAGGGTGATCGGTGAACTGACCAAACCTGAACCCCCTCGCTCAATTGGGGAAGCGATCGGGAAAGCGAAGCAGTTCTATCCGCTGCTCAAGATCGGTCCCAAGCGGAGCAAGCGGGATGGCGCGTGTCAGGACGTGGTGCATACTGGTGATGCGGTTGATCTGACGACGATCCCGATCCTGCGCTGCTGGGAGCATGACGGGGACTTTGAGACGCTCGGATATCCGGCGGGGATCAATGATGGTTTAGCGAGCATGGGGCATCCGGAGATTGATGCATCAGAATGGGACGCAAAGTATCGGGGGCGGTTTATCACGCTTGCTGGGATTCACACGATCCACGCGGATGATCGCGATGATCCCAAACCCAAGTCGCACAACATCGGGATGTATCGCGTGCAGCTGCTCGGGAAGGATCGGCTCGCGATGCACTGGCACATGCATCACGATGGAGCAGCGCACTGGCGGTCGTGGAAGAAGCTCGGGAAACCGATGCCTGTCGCGATTGTGCTTGGGGGTCCGAGTGTGCTGCCGTATGGGGCGACGTGTCCGCTCCCTCCTGGGATCAGCGAGTTGCTGATGGCGGGGTTCTTACAAGGGGAGGGCGTGCGGATGTGTCGCGCCAAGACGGTGCCTTTGTGGGTTCCTGCGGATGCGGAGATGGTGATCGAGGGGTTTGTGGACACGGATGCGGGGTATCCGGGGTGGGATCCGCGTGAGGATGGTGCGGGAGATTTGGGTGAGGGTGCGGTTTTTGAAGGGCCGTTCGGGGATCACACTGGGTTTTATTCGATGCCGGATCGGTATCCGATCACTTCGGTGACGGCGTTCACTCATCGGCGTGATGCGGTGTATCCGACGACGGTGGTGGGGTTGCCTCCTCAGGAGGATTACTTCCTTGGGAAGGCGACGGAGCGGATTATGCTGCCGTTGCTGAAGACGATCTTGCCCGATGTGATGGATTACGACCTACCGTTGTATGGATGCTTCCACAACGCGGCGAATATTCAGATCAAGAAGCATTATCCGCTGCATGCACGCAAGGTGATGCACGCGATCTGGGGCGCGGGACAGATGGCGTGGACGAAGACGCTGTTTGTTGTGGAGGATGATGTCGATGTGCATGATCTCTCGAGTGTCATGCGAGCGGTGTGGGATCATTGCAAACCATCGCGTGATATTGAGCGTGTGCATGGCGCGGTGGATATTCTGGACCACGCCGCGGCTCGGTTCGGGACGAGCATGAAGCTTGGATTCGATGCGACGCGGAAGGTGGCGTCTGAGGATCTGGACGGGCAAGCAATTGATGAACCATCACCGATCCCGAGCGAGGCGGCGTGCAAGGAAACGATCGCGTGGGCGAGGTCTTGCGAAGGAGTGCTTGAAGCGACGACTCCTGAAGCAGCGCCGGGATGGGTGTTTATCCGTGTTGATCGAGGGTATCACGAAGCGGATCGTGCCGGGCTTGGGGGCAGGGTGCTCGATGAGTTTTGGAACGAGCCGACGGCGCATCGGTTTGTGGTGGTCGTGGGGCGTGATGTGGATATCCATGATCATCACGAAGTGCTGTTCCACTGGGTTGCGAACTGCGACTTTGCGCGTGATACGCAATGGGATCAGTCGCATGGGTGTGATCGTGTTGGCTTTGATGCGACACCAAAGACTAGCGGCGATGCGCGGAACAACCAGCCCGTGCGGGCTTGGCCTCCGATTCTGACGATGGATGAAACTGTCAATGCTCGTTGTGATCAGATCACGCTCGCACGATAGTTATCCGCCTGGGACACCAGTCTGGGCGGTGAGCCAAGCATCGATCTCTACAACAACATCTTCGATGAATGGTTTGGCGGCTCGTGCGCCGGCGCCGGGTTTGATGTTGTTGAGGATCACCGAAAACGCGGCTCGTCTTCCTGAGGGGTGCTCGAGCACACCTGAGAGTGAGTAGACGCCGTTGAGGTAGCCGCTCTTTGCTTTGAGTGATGAATCAAGATTGGCATTGAGGAAGCGTCGTTTGAGTGTGCCCTTTCCTGGGACAGCAAGTGAGTTGGCGAAGGTGTCCCAACTCTCATGATGGGAGAGGACATTGAGCCACTTGGTAAGAGTTTTTGGTGCAACTCGGTTTTCCCGGCTCATACCTGAGCCGTCTGCGATGATTGTACTTTGTGCGGCTGTGGCGCTGACATGCTGGCTGAGCAGGAGACGGATGACGGATGCACCGTTTTCCCACGATCCAGGATCTCCGGTGATTTCGTGTCCGATGCGTTTGATCAGGGCTTCGGTGTAGAGATTGTGTGAGTCGGTGTTCGCACGCGTGACCACATCGGCTATTGGGGTCGTAACCACAGCAACTGGTGTAGAAGCCCATTCGTCTTCAGCGTCAGCGAGTCTGACGGCTTCGTTTGCGTATCCGTTGGTGATGAGTGCGATCCCACGTTCTTTGAGTGACTGTGCAAAGACGGTTCCAGCGAACAGGGATGGTTCGTGCACACTGACAGGGATTTCTGTTTTGCCTCGCACATTTCCGTAGAGCGTGAACTTGTTGGCTGGGACTGGACGCGCGATCCAAGCGCTGTCGCGTCCCTTGCTGATGGTCTTCGCTTTGACGCGCACATCGATCCAAGGGAGGTCGGGTTGCATCTCGAGTAGTGGGGTGCCTCCGAGTGAACCTGGGATGGGGTACATCTTGATGACATTGGTTTGGAAGTTGAGGCCTCCGATCTCGGCGCAGTACCAGCGGTTGAGCTGGTCTTCGGGCCAATCAGGGTGCGCCCAGTTCCTATCGAAGACGCGATCATCGACAACGATCTCATCGAGTGATTCAACACCTCGATCTTTGAGTGCTTTTGCGACGGCATCGAAGAGTGCTTCGTGCGTCAGGACTTGTTGCTCGTCTTCAAAGATCGCGGGATCGCCGAGGGCGGGGTCTCCTGATCCTCTGAGAATGAGTGTGGTGCGGTTGTTGGATTCGTAGATGTCAATTGTTGTCCGGAAGTCGAAGCTATCGCCGAGCACCATGAGTGCGGCTCCGGTGCTTAGCAGCTTCATGTTAGATGCGGGGATCATGAGTTCGGTGGAGTTGTACTCTCCGAGTTCGCGTCCAGTGTCGAGGTCGATGATGTGGATCGCGGCTTTGCCGTTTCCGAGGCTTGCGTTTCCGACGAGTCGATCGAGCTTGAGATCCAGTGGACCTGCGATGCAGATCGAGCAGAGAAGCGACAGGAGAAATGTCATCATGAGCGTCGTCGGGTGAGGAGTGGTTGTATTTGTTGTTGATCGGGTCTGCATAAAGGGTCTCCTGTACCCCTCGATCGGGAAATCCGGCTGAATTGCTCCAGTTCTCGTACAATCGAGTGCATTTAGAGTTTCAGCGTGCTCTGTCTGAGGTAGTCTATCGGATTCGGGGCACCAATGATCTGAGTGCAGGAAATGAGCAAGTCTTGAAAGGACCAGATTTCATGAGCACTACCAACCCGACTTTGCCTGATCAGAACGACGCTGAGGTGGTCTCGCATCAGGGCGTGCTGATCGTTGATGACAACGAGCAGAATCTGGAGCTCCTTCAGGCGTATCTGGATGATCTAGGTGGCCCGGTGCGTGTGGTCACTGACGGGATCCAAGCGATCCAGTCGGTTGAGAATGATCCGCCGGATATTATCTTGCTTGACATCATGATGCCCAAGATGAGCGGGTATCAGGTGTGCAAGCAACTGAAGGAATCCATTTCGACTCGCGATATCCCGATTATCATGGTCACGGCATTGAGTGAGGTGGGGGATGTTGAGCGTGCGATTGATGTGGGCGCGGATGATTTCTTGACGAAGCCGGTCAATAAGATCGAGTTGTTGACACGAGTGAAGTCATTGTTGCGTGTTCGGCAACTGAAAAGAAACCTCGACGATGCGGTCGCCGAGGTTCGTGCGTTGCGTGATCAGTCAAACGACTGAGCTTTGAGATAGATCGTTGTTTATGGACAGCCCTTGCCATACTCGGTGAGGAAGGCGCTGACATCGAGGAAGTTGAACTGTCCTTCTCCGGTGAAGTCTGCGGAGGCTTCCATCTTGCCATAAGCGGTCAGGAATGCACTGACATCGAGGAAGTTGAGTTGTCCCTCTCCCGTGAAGTCCGCAGGGCATGGATCCGCGACGGCTTCGGGAAGAATAAAGTCGATGAGCACTGGTCTGTGGTCTGAGGACAGTCCAGAAATCGAGAATGGATTGATTGGGAACGAGCGTGCTGGTTCTGGGATGTCGTCGACTGACATTCCAGATCCGGTCGATCGGAAGATGAAGCTTCGGCGAGCTGTTGCGATCGAGTCTTGGTAGATCAAGTAGTCGAGCTTTGAGCTGCTACCTTGGGTTGATGATTCATTGGAAATTGGGTGGAGCGCGAGGTCTACGCTGGAGTCCGAACGATTGCGATCTGTGCCGTCGGTTCCTCCTGTAAACTCGGCGCGGGCGATGAACTCTGCAGGACCGTTTCCGGGTTGCTGGTTGAGGTCTCCTCCGAGAACGATTGGTGTATTCTCATCAAGCACAGTCCCTGTGCTTGGCAGTGAGATGCGGTTGTTCGGATCGCTGGTACCTGTTCCAGCTCCGTTGTAGTAGTAGTCGATAAAGTAGGTGATGTTCTCGCTGGCTTTCTCGCGCTGGGCAAAATCGCTTGAGCTTCCTCCGGCTTTGAGGTGTCCGTTCCCAACGACGATGTCGCCGGCATACATTTCGTCAGGCAGATCGATCTCGGCGAACTGGTACCCTCGGATGCCTGGGGTGCCGCCGGTCTGATATGCGTCTGGGACAAGAACGAAGTTGGAGAAGGTGGATCCCCCGCCGTTGAGATCCGCGAATGGGTAGCGGGACATGATCATGTTGCGATTGAATCCGTCGTTGGCTTCACTGACATAGACGTGGGGGAGGTCGTATCCGGTCCCGGTGAAGAGCTGGATGTAGGAACCGACTGGGACATTCCCGTTGTAGATGTCGGTGCCGCCATGGACGAGGAGGTCCGCAACGTTTTCGAGCGTGGAGATTGAGTCGACGCCGCTGCCCGTGCCGTTCCCTGAGTTGTCGGCGCACTCTTGGAGGATGAGGATGTCTGGTTGTAGGGATGCGATGATGCGGACGATGCCGTTCCAGTCTCCGAAGGTGTCGCCTTTGTCGTTGGAGGAGCAGATGCCGTCTTGAACATTCCATGTCATGACACGGATGTCAGTAGAATCTGATTTGAGCCATTCGCCGTTGTGTGGATCCCACTGCGCGTTTGCGCCTGCGGCTGTGGTGGCAATCAGTGCTGCGGTCAATGTGGAGCGGTTCATAGGGTCATCCTCTAATTTTGAACTGTCGGTGTCGAATCTTTGACTTGTTAAGATACCACAAGTTTTTGGGCATTCAAACCAGAAACACAATGGTTTGAAGTTTGATTTCTTTGATTCAAGAAACGCCCGCGCCGTTGAGCGCGGGCGTTTTTGGGTTCAGTTGTACTCAATCAATGATGATCGAGGATTATGGGCATCCCATGCCGTAGGCGGAGAGGAATGCCGAGACATCGAGGAAGTTGAACGAACCTTCACCGGTGAAGTCTGCTGATGGATCCATGTTGGCGTATGCAGTGAGGAACGCGGACACATCGAGGAAGTTCAGTGAGCCTTCTCCAGTGAAGTCTGCTGGACATGGATTGACCACTTCGTCCTGGTAGTAGCCGACGTAGAGACCCACAGAGTAGGACTCGTCAGCAGGCAGACCTGGGTCGTAGTTTGCTGAGGTTGGGTTGTTGAAGCGCATGTCACCCGTGGTGTCGTAGGTGATGGTTGTTCCGAAGAACACGCCGCCGTTGGTGATTGGGTCGGATGGTTCAACGCCGGAGATATCGGAGTTGTTCCATGCAAACTCAGCAACATTGGTTGCGTACATGGTCGATGGGGTGGCGCCGCCGGTGTTGGTGGAGGAGCCGAGGAAATCGATGCGGTAGTCCACACCTGAGTTCACACCCGAGAAGACCTGACCGACTTCCATGACCAGTTCGAGCTGGTAGGAGAATGTCGCTGGATCGTAGATCGCGCGGAGGAGAGCACCGTCGAAGTCCGATGCGTCAGGCTCGCCGTCCATATCGGTGTCGATGCGGTCGAAGAGCTCGACTGCGGACATGAACCAGATGTTTCCTGCGGAGTCGATTGCAGGAGCGGACATGCCTGGGCCGAGGGGGAAACCGCCGGTGACGGCGTCGAGGTTCACGATCTGACCGATTGGGTCGCCGTTCTCGTCGCAGATTGGCTTACCAGCGTTCTCTGTGAAGAGGTTGAACTGGTCAACGTATGCCGCGAGTGTCCACTCTTGCATTCCGGTCGAGGCGTTGTAACGGCAGACAACGATCTGGTTGGAGAAGTCGTCGGAGAAGCCGTTCTCGTTGACCATTGCGGCCATGAGTCCGCGGCCTGCTTGGTCACGACCGATTGCGACATGACCAACACCACCACGGAAGAGGGTCGCGCCGGTGTAGTTGTTCGGCTGACCTTGACCTGTGTAGGTGATCGCGAATCCGGTTTCGTTGTCGGTGATTGGGGTCGCGACTGGGATCTCGAAGCCCTTGACGCCGACGATGGCGCCTGCGGAGTCAACGCTTGTGACATTGAGGATGCGGGTTTCACCTGGTGCGTCCTTGGAGAGGAGCGCGAGGGTGTAGTCGGCGCCGTTCCCGAGGAAGTCGTGGGTGGTGGTTCCGAAGGAGCCGCGGTGGTCGTCGCCCCAGCCGTTGGCTGTGTCGAGGTGTGCGGTGGTGTTGGTGAATGAACCAGTGTCAGCGACGAACATCTCGGTGGTTGCTGCGAATGCGTTGCCGTTGACGGAGAGACCGCCTGGTCCTGCGACGCGTGCTGGGATGTTGTTTGGAACACCGAGTACATCGCCGTAGTTGGTGATCAGGCGATCAGTTGCGTCAAGCGTTGCGGCTGACGAAACCAGGTTCGGCACATTGCAGTTGCGATCGGCGAGGCGGGTGCGGAAGAGGTTGTTGCCAGAGAGTTGATCGGTACCGGTGGAGTTGTTGTTGTCACCGCGGTAGAAGATGTTGCCGTCGGCGTCCATCGAGAGGCCACCGAGCTGGGAGCTGTCACCAGCGAACTCATTCGCAGTGTTGACTGCTGCTTGGCGACGATCGACATAGAGGCGGTTTGCATCGGATGGATCGTAGTTGACGAATGCTCCGATGATGCCGTTGTAGCTTGAACCTCCGAGGGTGGTGCCGAACTCGTTGATGGAAACTCCGAAGCGTGAAGCGCCGCCGTCACCAACGAATACTGGCGTGCCTGGTGTGTTGGTTTCAACATTGAGACCAGCGCCCGGTTGGTTTTCCCAGAGGGAGAACGCTTGCATCGAGTAGTTGACATCAACCGAGGTGCTCGGGCTGATGGTTGAGGATGAGTACAGGTTGTTGAAGTTCGTTGTTGCGTTGGTTTGAGTCATCTTGATGATCGGTGCGACACCAAACATGTGACCCTTCGAGGTGGTGAATGGGTGCAGATCAACAACATATGCTGCACAGTGATCATTCCATGGATTGAGTGCATCGCCTGGCAGGTCTCCGCCGTTGGTGCTGACGCTGTCCTGAGCGAGTGCTGGTGCGCACAGTCCTGCTGCGGCGATGATTGCTGCGATTCCGAGTTGCTTACGCATGATCTCTGTCTCCTTTGGGTGATGACGATTCCGCACGCGCGGACTCGTCGCTCTCACAGAATTGTTATTCCGAGGCATTCCACTGCCCGGCTCTCCCGAGTCTGTCGACAACCCAAGCCGCTTCGGAGGATCAACACCGAACTGCGTGGAGGCGCAAACTCTGCGTTAATCGTAGCACATTGGGGGAGAATCAACGGATTTCAATCCGCGATATTCGATCAATATTGTGTCAAGATGCCCGATAAGCCGGATTCCGTAAGAAATATGTTAGGAACGCATGGAGCTCATGTGAGCCGAGAGTTTCCCGGCGAGGGCCGCGTTTGATTTGACGAGCTCCAGATTAGCTGCAAGTGTTGCGCCCTCAGAGATTTGGTGCAGACGGGAAAGAATCGCTGGAGTCGCGTCGCGGCCTGAGGCGCCGATGCTCTTGGCATGGGTCTGGGCGTCGCTCAACCAAGCGTTCCAGTCGGTGTGGTTCAGCTCGTGTTGCTGTGGGATGGGGTTGGCGACCACGATGCCTCGTCCGGTTCGGCTGAGCTCTGAATAGATGAGCGCGGCGAGTTCGCTTGGGTCGTCGATGCGGACATCGACCTGTGCATCCGACTCCCTCAGGTAGAAGGCGGGGAATGAGTCGGTCTTGTATCCGATGACGAGGACGCCGAGAGTTTCGAGTGCTTCGCGTGTGGATTCGACATCGAGGATGGACTTGACGCCGCTGGTGACGACGGCGACGGGGAAGCGTGTGAACGCGGCGAGGTCGCTGGAGATATCGAGGTGCTCGCCGTATCCGTGGTGAACGCCTCCGATTCCTCCGGTCGCGAAGACGCGGACTCCAGCGGCGGATGCGAGTTCCATCGTGGTGCTGACGGTGGTCGCGGCGTGGACTTGTTGATGCATCGCGACGCCGAGGTTGGCGGTGTTTGCTTTGAGGACTGAGTTTGCGGAGAGCATCGATGCGAGCTCTTCGTTGGTCATCCCGACGGTTGGCTTGCCGTTGACGAGTCCGATGAGTGTCGGGTGAGCGCCTTGGTCGGTGACAATCTGTGCGAGTTCATCGTTGAGTGGTTGGGAGGATTCTGGGGGGACGCCGTGGACGAGGAGGGTGGTTTCGAGCGCGACGGAGTTGGGCTTTGAGCGGTTGGTGAGGTCCATTTGGTGTCCGATGCTTGGGATGTGCGGGTTTGCAAATCAGCGGATGTCTGGTACGCTGGTCGGATGGTTGGTGATCATGACAATACGGGAGCGGCGAGGGGATGACGACTGTCCTGATCGTGATCCTGAGCTTTGTGCTGTATTTGGTCGCGTACCACACCTACGGCAGGTACCTAGCGCGACGGGTGTTCCGGATCGATCCCGATGCGCAGACTCCGGCGTGCATGATCGATGACGGCGTGGACTTTGTGCCCTCGAAGCGGTCGCTGGTGTTTGGGCATCACTTCACTTCGATCGCGGGGACTGGACCGATCGTGGGTCCAGCGATCGCGGTGGTCTGGGGTTGGGTGCCGGCGCTGGTGTGGGTGCTTGTCGGATCGATCATGATGGGGGCGGTGCATGACTTCGGATCGCTGGTGATCTCGATGAGGCATCGCGGCCGCACGATCGCGGATCTCTCGGGATCGGTGGTCAATCCGCGCGTGCGGATGCTCTTTATGATCGTGGTGGTGATCGGGTTGTGGATCGTGCTCGCGATCTTTGGGTTGGTGATCGCGACGATCTTCAAGCTGTATCCGACGAGCGTGATCCCGGTGTTTGCGCAGATCCCGATCGCGATTGGTCTGGGGTTCTGGCTGCGGCGTGGCGGCTCGATGCTAATAGGTTCGCTTGTCGCGGTGGGGCTGATGTACGCGACGATCTGGTGGAGTTCTGGACTCGAAATCGAGGGGAAGCACGGGATCTTCTATCCAGTCATGCTGGATTATTTGTCGGAGATTGGGTGGTGGACGCTGATCCTGATGATCTATGTCTTCATCGCGTCGGTGCTCCCTGTGCATGTGCTGCTGCAGCCGCGGGACTTTATCAACTCCTGGCAGCTGATTATCGCGATGGGGTTGCTGGTGCTGGGGGTGCTGGTCGCTCGTCCACCGATTGTTGCGGACGCGGTTCGAATGGTGCCAGAGGTTTCGGTCAATGGCAATCCGGCTCCTCCGATGCTGCCGTTCTTGTTTATTACGATCGCGTGCGGCGCGGTGAGTGGGTTTCACTGTCTCGTGTCGTCGGGGTGTTCGTCGAGGCAGCTCAAGACGGAGGGGGATGCGCAGTACGTGGGGTTTGGCGCGATGCTCACGGAGGGGTTCCTTGCAACGCTGGTGATTGTCGCGTGCATCGCGGGGATCGGGATGGGGACACTCGATGGCGAGGCGGCTTGGCTTCGGTACTACCAGCAGTGGGGAGGGGATGCGGGACTGGGCGCGAAGTTGACGCCGTTTATTCAGGGGTCGGCAAACATGATCGGTTCGATCGGTATTTCAGAGCACTTCGCGATCACGCTGATGGGTGTGTTCGTCGCAAGCTTCGCGGCGACGACACTCGATAGCGCGACACGATTGCAGCGGTATGTGATCGCTGAGCTTGCTGTGGGTCATGAATCAACACACAAAGCCGGACCGATTCGCTCATTGATTGCGAATCGGTATGGTGCAACGACTGTTGCCGTGGTTTCTGGATTCTTGCTTGCGATCTCGGATGCGCCTGTGAGGGGGCTTGAGAATGCTGGGCTCGGCGGGCTCACACTCTGGCCGATCTTCGGCGCGACGAATCAGCTGCTCGCGGCGTTGGCGCTGTTGGTAGTGACGGTCTGGCTGGTCAAGTCCAAGAAGCCGGCGTGGGTGAGTGCGGTCCCGATGGTGTTCATGCTCGGGATCACGAGCTACGCGATCGTGCTGCTTGCGAAGGGGTTTGCGGATTCGAGCAATGCGCTGCTGCTTGGGATCTCGGTGCTGATGCTGGTGCTGGAGATCTGGATCGTCATCGAGGCGGCTGGTTTGGTGTTCTCGAAGAAGGCTGAGGAAAAAGTATCTGAGTGAGCTTGGTCCGATAGACAGGCGGACATGGACTCTGAGTCTCTGGTGTGGTGCATGGTCAGGTGAAAGTCGGAAATGATTCTCGAGATGTTGGCATTGGATCGAGCTGGTTTGGATGCTCTGTGTGTACACGATGTCTCGTAGAGGTCCAACGCCATGAGTTCACGACAGAATCTTCGTTCGCCGTTGGCGACGATCATGATTGCCGCTATCGCTGGAACTGCATCCGCATCCAGCGGTACCATCCCGCTTGGGGATGTGATTGAGTGGGTGGAGATCTCGATCCACATGCCGGATGGTCGTGTGATCAAGACAACGGAGCCGCGGTACCCATCGAGATCGAGGGTACACATCACAACTGGGAAGTTGCCTCCATTCAAACGCAGCGGTGATGCATCAGCATCTGGATCTGATCTTGAGATGGGAGTTGAGTTGGTAGATGAGCCGAGCTCATTGATTGAGGAGCTTGATCCTGAAGTAGCTGATTTAAGCGAAGAGGTCGATTCTTCAACTGAGGGTCTGATCGATGAGCCCGTAGAAGCTGTTGATTCTGGAGATGATTCGGACGGCTCTTCAAGTGGTGCCGTGCGCCAGTTTAAGAAATCGAGTTGACAGCATCAGTGGAGTTGAGAATGTATAAAAAGACACCCCTCGACGAGCGAGGGGTGTCTTTGATTTTGCAATCAGATCAAGCGATCAGACGCGGTCTTTGAGGCCCTTGAGTGGACGGACCTTGACGACGTTGCGTGCTGGCTTGGCTTTGAACACGGTTTCTTCGCCGGTGAATGGGTTGATGCCCTTGCGTGCCTTGGTTGCTGGCTTGCGCTGGACCATGACCTTCATCATGCCTGGGACGTTGAATGCGCCGCAGTTGCCCTTCTTGAGGTCCTTCTCGATCATGTCGCCCATGATGTCGAAGACCTGAGCGGCTTCCTTCTTGGAGATGCCGACATGGTCGGAGATGATGGTGAGGACCTCGGACTTAGTGCGTGGCTTGTCCTTCGCAGCGACGATCTTGGCTGGCTTCTTAGCGACTGGTGCGGCCTTCTTCGCAGGTGCCTTCTTGGCAGCGGTCTTGCGTGCTGGTGCCTTCTTGGTGGTGCGGCGAGCAGCGGTCTTTTTCGCGGTTTTCTTGGTGGTGCGTTTCTTGGTTGTTCTCTTGGCCATTGCATACTCCATTCTGCAACTAAGTGATTCTGCGTGTGGCTTCCACCCACACGAACAGTTGTTTTTACCGGACTACTATCGGCACCTTACCAGCATTTCGCCCTGTTTTTGTAGGGTTTTTCTGATATTTTTCACTTTTGGTTCGTTTGGTGCTTCTTGAAACTCCTTGTGTCTTGCTGATTGGTTGGTGCTCAGGGTGACCTATTGTCCCAGCATGGAAACCCCTACAAAACAAGTGCGAATCACCCGTGCGATCCCCGGAAAGCTGGAAATACCAGACGCTTGCGTGCAGACGCTCGGGGACCAGCTTGCAACGCGCGAAGCGCTCAAACCCTTTGTTTCAGGGGCTCATGCGCTCGTCACGATGTACACCGATCCCGTGGATGCGGAGTTACTTGACGCCGCGGGTGAGCAGCTCCAGATTGTGAATAACTTTGCTGTCGGGCACGACAACATTGATCTTCAAGCTTGCAAATCAAGAGGCGTGATCGTCTGTAACACTCCTGATGCGGTCACTGAGGGGACGGCGAACATCGCGTTCCTCCTGCTGCTCAGTTGTGCACGGCGACTCATCCAAGCGGATCGGTACGCACGCTCGCCAGACTATCCGGCGAATGGACAGCTCGGGATGGCGGACTTCATGGGTTTGGACCTATGCGGCAAAGAACTATTGATCGTGGGTGCTGGTCGCATCGGATACGCGACGGCGCTGCGGGCCAAGTCCTTTGGGATGCGGATCGCGTATGTCGCTCGAAGCCGACATTTGGAGTTTGAGATGGCGCCAATGGGGGCTCGGCGAGTTGAGCTTGAAGAGGGACTTAGGGAAGCGGATGCGGTCAGTATCCACACGCCGCTGACGGAGCACACCAGGCACCTGATCAACGCGGATCGGCTCGCGATGATGAAGAGCGACGCGATCCTGGTCAACACGGCTCGTGGTCCGGTGATCGATGAATCCGCGCTTGTTATAGCATTGGAATCTGGTCACCTCTGGGGTGCTGGACTGGATGTGTTCGAGCAGGAACCCAAGGTGCATCCAGGGCTGGTATCGAGTGATCGTGTTGTGCTGACCCCTCATATCGGGAGCGCGGAGGAGCGGTGGAGGCGTGCGATGACCGAGATGATCCAGACGAACATCAACGCGGTCTTTGCTGGTGAAGAACCTCTGACTCGTGTGGTATGAAGCGGATCAGTCCTGAGTGGAGCGATTCCGGGTGGGGTCGGCGAACTCGAGTTCGAGGAATCGCGCGACGTAGTCGATGATCGAATCGGCCATTGGGATGTCGGGGTTGCTGGTTGGGCCGTGGGGCTCGAATCGCATGCCTTTGAATCGCTTGACGGCTTCGTCGACCGGAAGGCCGTATTGGAGCGCGATGGAGAACGCTCGGCAGAATCCCTGGCACATCCCTGAGATCGCGGACCCTTCTTTGGCGATTTTGATGAAGATTTCGCCGGGCGTGCCGTCGGCGTAGAGACCGATTGTGAGGTATCCCTCGTGTCGGCCGATGGAGAACTTGTGGGTGATCGATTCGCGTGTGGGTGTCAGAGATTGGCGGGTCGCGAGCATCGGGTCGTCCTTGTGTGCATGATCTCGTGGTGGCATGGATTCGTCCTCGGATCGGCTTCCCTGCCGATTGGACCTCAACTCTATCGGACCTTTTCGCGAATGTCCCTGAGAAATCGCGGCTGATGTCGGGATTCCGAAGAATTCGGGTTCAGGGAGACGGCTTTGTCTTGCTCCATGCGTCGAGCGTGCCGATACTTACAATACGAACCCTATGAAGAGCAGCGAGCACACATCACGAGCACTCTACCAGCAGCGTCCGGCGAAGAACTCCGGATGGATGGTTGCGGCGATTGCGATGCATCTGCTCGTTGCGTCGATGGCGTCTGCCGCGTCGTCGTGCTCTGAGACAATCGAACGCACTCGCGTGACACGGATCTCGCACTGCGTTGCGCAAGCGATCCGTGATCTGGTTGATCATCAGCAGAGTGAATCGGTCTGGGTTGTTCGTGACTCTGAGGAAGCTCCTATTGGTGCGATCCTGGGAGCGGGTGATGGAGATGCAGGATCCGGCTTCATGCTTCAAGCATGGCTGTTGAATCTGCCTCCACCTACGGCGTGAGCAGCGATCGCTGAACTCATTCTCACCAATACCCAAGAAATACAAACCACACCCATTCCGATCTGTTCAACACAGCATCGGTCCATAGTTCGGATACCACGCCGTGCGGAGCGCACGCGGAATCCAGATTCGAGATACCACATGTCCAGTTCAGAAATTCCAGTTATTGGATCCATCCTCTCCAAGGTCTTCGGCTCACGCAATGAGCGGATCGTGAAGAAGTACACCTCGCGTGTCGATGCGATCGGTGAGCTTGAGCCGCAGATGCGGTTGCTGACCGACGCGGAGCTTCGCGCCAAGACACAAGAGTTCCAGGAACGCTTCGACAAGGGAGAAGGCGTGAATGATCTTCTAGTTGAGGTGTTCGCGGCGGCGCGTGAATCGATGGATCGTTCAGTCGGGATCCGCAACATCTTCAATCCGGAGCATGAGTTCGATGCTTCGAAGCTCAGCGGGAGCATTCGCGAGACTTACGATCGGATCAAAGCCCAAGCGGACTCGCTCGAACCTGCAGAACCAGTGGGGGAGTTCCTTGGGTGTGCTGAGCAAGTCCCTGGATACATGCAGGTTGAGATCCCCAACGAGATCTATGACGCGGTGCGTGAGATTTATCCAGAATCGCGTCCGCCGTTCCGCGCGCGTCCGTTTGATGTGCAGCTGATCGGTGGCATGGTGCTGGGTCAGGGGAAGATCGCGGAAATGAAGACGGGTGAAGGCAAGACCATCGTCGCGCCGCTCGCGGCGTACATGGCCGCGGTCTCCCGGCAGCAGGTCCACATCGTGACGGTGAACGACTACCTCGTGCAGCGTGACCGCGACTGGACCTTCCCGTTCTTCAACAAGTTGGGGCTCTCAGTCGGTGCGATCCATCCGATGCACATGCAGCCTGAGAGTGTGAAGCGGGAGATGTACCGCTGTGATGTGGTTTACGGCACAACCTCGGAGTTCGGATTCGACTACCTCCGCGACAACATGAAACGGAGCGTGGACGAGCAGGTGCAGCGGAAGCGTCAGTTCGCGATCGTGGACGAGGTGGACTCGACGCTGATTGACGAGGCGCGGACGCCTTTGATTATCTCGGGGCCGGCGCATGATGATCAGCCACGCTATGAGCTCGCGACGGGACTCGCGAAGCAGTTGGTGGATCTGCAGAAGCCTTGGCAGGAGAAGGAAGACGAGGTCCAGCGTTGCAAGGAACTGATCAAGGGTCTTGAGGGCGATATCCGTCAGACACGCAACTCGGATTCGATCCCGGAGCTCCAGAAGCGGCTCGAAGAAGCGAAGAAGCAGCTCCCAGAGATCGAGCACGCGCGTGACCAGCACGCGCAGTACTACGAGATCGAGATGGATCGCAAGTCGGCGCACCTGACGCACGAGGGCATCGCGCACGCGCAGAAGCTCGCTGGGGTTGGTTCTTTCTATGTGGATGAGAACATGGATATCCCGCACTTGCTTGAGCAGTCGCTGCGTGCGTACGCGGTGTATCAGCGGGACAAGGACTACATCGTGATGGATGTTCCTGATCGCATGACCGGCAAGGCGGAGCCGAGCATTGTGATCGTGGATACCAATACCGGTCGTCCGATGATCGGTCGTCAGTGGTCCGATGGTCTGCACCAAGCGGTGGAGTGCAAAGAAGGTGTGCCGATCAAGCCTGAGACGCAGACGGTCGCGTCGGTGACGGTGCAGAACTTCTTTAAGATGTACAAG